AATACTGGTAAAGYTGATTTTTTCTGCTAGAGGAAAAGAAAGCTAACCCACTGCTTTCTAAAACGTAGGAAAAGGTTGTGTCAGTTGTGATTCGTTTAAGACTAATCCTACAGGAAAAATCCTAYATCTTTAGAGAAACACTTCTGTCCCCTATAAAACTTTCTGTATTAACATTTCTAGAKGCAAAATGAGAAAGGAAACATGTCATTGACCAGAGAAGCCAGCTAGTCTTGTGCTTCCCCCAAACCACATCTCATCTGTGACCGTTCGGTTCTTCCAAAAGATCTCATTTGAGAGMAAAATTAAATGTTTCCTTCTTTCTTGTCTGCACTAATACAAAACTCATTACRTTTCTCCTAAACTCATGACTACGCTGTTAACAAGTGACTCATCAACAATTCCTATTAAAACTTTTGCTTTTTAAACAAAAATTACATTTGGTCTTAATAGCTAAAATATATTTTGACATTTGGAGAACACTTTGATTTTTGTTTGGTTTTGCTGTCTTGTGTTTGYTGATGGCTGCTGTTGGTTAGAAAGRAGATTGCAAGATCTCTTTTTTTCCCTGAAAAACCAGAATTTCTTAGGTGCTATCCAAATATTCAAGTCTCAAGGCAGGAAAGATCCAACAAACATGGAATTGGAAATTAAAACCTCCTACACATGATTTGGTAAAAGCTCARCAATAACTAGTCCTAAGTTTTCTGTTTAATAAGCAACAAAAACATAGTACTGTCTTCTCACTGACTGTAAATCTCTTTTTGGAAGTAACACAGAGGCTCCTGGAGTGCCACATTTCAGCCATTGAGTGCATGTGAACTGGATGCCATAAAATGATAAAACTACTCCAGCTGACACAGATCTTAGTATCCTTCATATCCTGTGTATTCTTCCCACCTTTTGTCACCTGGATCATGCCTGCAGGATGCTCTCTGCTTTCCCCATTAGCTGGTCACCTCTACTTGCTTTATTTCTCCTGTACTTGCACTATAAACTCCCATGTACTCCCATGTTTGAGGTTTTGTTTTCCTTTACTTTTTACTCTTGGTTTGTGTAACCCTGTCTCAAAAAATCTTTTTCAAAACCTCTGCTTTTTACTGTGATGGACCCAGTCAAACAGGAACAGGTTCTCCAGGGAAATGGGCACAACACCAGCCTMACAGGGTGTTTGGGCAGTGCTCTCRGGCACATGGGGTGACTCTTGGGGATGGTGCTGTGCAGGGCCAGGAGCTGGACCTGATCATTCTGGTGAGTCCCTTCCAACTCAGCACATTCTGTGATTCTGTGAAACACTCAGAATTTTGGAATGGCTCAGGGTTCAGACCATGATGGAGAACTGTATTTCCCAGTTATCCCCCTCAGTAAAATGTATTCAAACTTTGGATAAGGATTCAATTAGATATTCCAGTGCTGCTCAAGTCRTGTTTTTGGGCTCTTTTGCCTGATTTATACCAAGAAATAGTTGTTTTGCCAAAGATAACTGCAATTATTGGCTGAAATAATTTTATTCATCAATGTGCTAATTTACGATAGTAAATAAATTAATAAATAAAATCAACAGGCTCTGTCATAGTACAGTATATCTTAAATAAACAATCTTTTTACCATGTGTTGATGATTAATGAATGGCTGTTTCTGGCAAACTGCTCAACTGTAGCTCCAGGCATGGGACATCACAAGTTTCCAAAAAAACAGTAACAGCTCCCCTTATACATGCTTCAGACAGCCGCTATACATTGCAGTTTCCATGAAAAACAGGAATTTGGACTTGGATGAGTTGATTTTTTATAGGTCAGAGCTTATAGCTCATATAAATTGTGCACACATTCCTCAATGGCACAGGCCTCCCTAATATAAAAACAGATGCAGCTTTGTGGTTCATACAGTGTGTCAGTGTTGGACTTTTTATAAAAAAAAAATATTATGTAGTGGTTGAAAACCAGCCCTTGTTGCTCCATTAATTCTGTCCCTTTTCCACCCCTGCCCACTTCCCCTTTCCTGCTGTAGTAGTGCAAGCATTACAGCTGGGCACATCTGCCTCTTGCAACCATCCCCAGCATTTCCACTTTGGGAAAAAAACCACTAAAAACTGTAGCAGCATTGCTGGCAGATAACAGTACACTGCAATTTGGATTTTTTTTTTTTCTACTATTGTCCAGATGCTGTATGTTTTCCCAGAGCACAGGAATTGGCCATCGGGAAGAAAAACTGCCTTGCTGTGGCTGTGACACACCGGATCAGGTTSAATCTCCTGGAGATGCAGAGAGCTGGCTCTTGCCCAAGGAGCACTGAGGAGGCTCAGCATGGGGAGGTTTCTGGAGTGCAGAGCAGCGATGGGAGAGGCYGGGAGGAGGGTGCTCTGCTCAGCAGGACTGGGCTGGCAGCCAGCTCACACAAGGCATGGAAAGAGATGTTCACAAGACTGAAAGTGCTGGGTTGAGTTTCTTCAACTTTGGAAGGTAATGAAAGTTGCTGAACTGACATTGCCAGGAAAGAAGGGAAAGGAGAGAGTTGCTCTTCTTCATTTTAGGGTGTCTCACGCAGGAGGCCTGATTTTCTCACATTTTATGTTGGGTTTGTGTTCTAATGATGCAAAAGGGAAGTGGCCAGAAAATGTTGAGAGAGTTCTGAGGGATCATGGGTGGGTTTGGGCATCACAGACATCTCTTCTGGTTTARCTATCCCAGAATCTGCAAAACAGCCTTGAGGCAGGTCCAGGGCCAGTGCAGGTAAATGCAGGTAACCACAAGGCTTTTGTAGCACTGCCTGTTGAGCACTCACTTCCATTTCTGAAACAATACATGTTAAAAGAGGTAAGTGACAGAACATAACTACGATAGAGATTGCCAAAATGCAAAAAGAATGTTAAGGAGGAAAGGGTAAAAATATTTGAGGTGCTGTACACACTGGCTCAAATAGAAAAGCACAGAGAGACCTGCTGTTACCATAGCCTTCCYATAGAGCTATGAGAAAACACTCTGGAGGTGCTGTGATGCCACTGGATGTAGCTGGTTTATTTCTCTTGTTTGGTTTTATATTTTCTTCCAAAGACTGTTATTTTTCCAGTAGCATGACCTACTCAGATGTTTAGGCAAGTGTGATCAAGTTAGGGCAAGTGTGGATGAAGCCCACCATAACCATTAAAGGGCTGCAGCTTTGGCAAGTCACAGRAGAAGGGTCGAGATGGAGGAGACCTTTCTGCTGTAACTCATCAGAACACACAGAAGACACAGGCAAACCATTCTCAAAGGTGCACTGACAGGACAAGCAGCAYGCATAGAATTCCCATTACAAGGAAACATTAAGTTTTTAATCAGGAAGCTGGTCAAATTCTTGAAGAGGTTCCCAGAGACTGTGCAACCTTCATCCCTAAAGATATTCAGAACTCATCTGGCAAAGCCAGGACACCCCTGGTCTAGCTGGATATATTTAAAGCAACATCAGGATGAAACGCTCTCCAGAGGCCTCTTCCAACTTAATTTATTCTGTGACTCTATGACCTAAACAATTATTTTCTGGTTCAGTTCCCACAACACTCTTATAATATTGATAGCTTTGGTTAAAACAAGGAACTTTTCCTCATTGAACTGCTTTTCGTTTTCTTTGCAGAAACAGCCTCTGAAAATGTTTATTTTGACATTATTATTTTTACTCTTGTTGCAGACAAGCTGTCTTGCAATACACAGCTGAACTGGAGAAAAAGGAACATAATGATGCTGACCCTCCTTCATGGCTTGGATATGATTGGGATGGTAACTTAACCACCTTCACCAAAAAACACAGATCAGAGCCCGAAAAAACAAATTCTTCAAAATGAAAAATGAAGAAATTATGTAACATCTCTACAGTTCAAGGGTTTTTCTCTAGAGCATGAAAAGACCACTGTGTTATTTCTTCTTAAAACTAATCACACTTTAATAAAAGGCCATTTGTTGCATTAATAAGGAAGCATTGCAGATCTCTCACAGGGGTATGAATGCCTTCAAGCAAGACAGCTGCACTCAGACAGCACTGCTAACTCTCAGATGTTGATTCAAGCTGTCTCCATCTTTCAATAATGCAAGTTTTTGTAGTCTCGTGCAGAGTAAGCAATGAATAAATCTGCATGCGTTTGAGGTTCTTGTTTGCCATCAAGGTCCTCTCCAGGAAAAACATTGACTCCCCAGAACTTCACCCTCAATGTGGCTGGGACTCGTCAAGCACAGCATTGAGTAATTGAGAGCAGTGAGTGGGCACTGCCTACAGATCCTTTAATACACAACCACACCCATATGTTCAAGCACAGTCCACTTCTCAACAGTCACTGGTGCACCCAGAGCCCTCATTCTCATAAAAACCTCTTGGGCTGAGTCCAGCTCTCTAAACGAGCTGATGTTCATGTCTGCAGATCTGAACTGGGGGCTGGCTGGCAGCTGAGAGGYCAGGACAACCAAATTAAAGGGAGCACAGATGAGAAAAGTGTTAAAGTATAAATTTGCTCCAGTTACAAGTATGCGTCTTCTCATCCAATGGATAGAACAGATATATGAGCACACAAGGGATTTGCCATTCATACCCTAATTGCTGATAACCTACTAATCTTCCCTTGTCCAGAGAAAACTATCTACAGTTTCACATCATTATAGCAGAACACGACATTGTTCAATGCCTTTGGGGAAACTCTCAAGGATTTTTCCTCCTTCAGCTCATTCTTGACCTATTAAYATTCTAGCTGGTCTCAACATTTCTTAGCTTGGAATGAATATAATCAGTAGCTTTAGTGGTAGCACAACTTTTCTGCTGGCTCATTTAAACTTCTTTAAGTAGCTAATAATCCTGATGTTTAATTCCTGCTAGATTTAGGAAATGAATTAATTCAAAGCCTGAGTTTGCTTTCTTTTGAATATGGAATAAATAAAATGTTTTCTTACTGTGTTCTCCCTTGAATTGCTGGTGCAGCAGTCCCAAAAAACACAACCTTAATCTCAGAGGCTGACAGGCTTTGTATTCCAGGTGAATAATGGGACCATTAAATGGATTCGATCTTGTAAAATATCTACCAGACTGTTTTTATGTTTTCACGTGGTGTGAATTTGGAGGTGCTGTTTTCACTCTGGCTGCAGCAGGGCATAGAAATAATTTGTTTCAAAAAATTTTCAGGATATCCATAACCTTTATAAATTTATTAAATTTGTAACTTTAAAAAAAGTATAGTAACTCATATCTAGTAATATTGTAATGCCTTTAGTAATACTATAAGAAATTGTTTATATATTATTGTTTATACTAAAAGTACATACAGTTTTCCATACGCTTCAGTGCCTACCTCATCCCAACAAACAGTACACACAACAGTAAACAGAATGTGGAGTTTTTAACCACCCTGAATTACAGCAGAAATGATGCTCTTGAAGTCAATTAGCCAGGGGCAATTATACCTCCTGGGGAATTCTGTGGCAARGCAGAAGTTCCCTTCATAAGGTACCATTATGAAGTACATACACATACATACACAACCTAAAGCCTCAGCTGAGAGTCTGAACTCTCTGCTACTCTCCATCCACTCAGCTGGCAGGGATTCTTACATTTCAGTTTAAAACACCAATTTCACTGCTTCTTTTATAAGGTGYCATACAGAGGTATGGAAAGGCTTCTAAAAGCTCCATTTACTTTACTSTGTTTGTATTGAGTGACACAGACTYCTCCACAACAATCAATTGTGCCCTTGTGCAGGGTCTACCCGCTCCTCTCCCCTCCCTCCTCTGCCTTCCTGCCCCCAAGAGCTGGCAGCTCTGCAGGACAGAGCTCTAAGTTGCTGCAAACACAGCAAAGAGATTCCAGTTCTCAGTTACCAGGCCAACGCTTCCATTGTACAGCAGATCTTCCTTCAGAGGAATGTTCCTGTGGATTCTTACCTGAAGTCCAGTTGGGGGAGAGCTCCTCCTTGAACTCAGCCAGATCCATTGCACTTTTATTTATTTTAAAAGCTTTTCTTTGCAGATGAGCAGTGGTAGACACAGCTAGAGTTGTTATTTCTACCCACAACAAGCAGTTCAGGATGACAYAGAGTAAGTTCTGCCATTTCACAGATTATTTTTACACATTGAGTACCCACTGGCCAGGCAGAAACTGCTCAGTATTCAAACACCAAAGGGGTTTCACGTAAGAACTACAGGTCTGAAACTTATTTTATCCTATCCACGATATCGTTTGGCTGAAGAAAACTCACTGCATTCGGCACAAACCAGCAGAATTCCCACAGGACTGAGACATTTAATTTAAAAGTATGAGAGCTTGCAAAGCATGTAATCTTGGAAGTGTTGAAAACATTTTTGTTTTTTTATTTTTTATTTATTTTTAAATGACAACTCCAAACTTTTGTTTGAAAGCTATGAGCTTTTAAACTGATATGGTAACTGGGTCAAGTTATATAAATTAGGAATATGTAAGATCATCTTGCTCATAAAAGGCACTAAAAGTAAACCAGACTGTTTAGCACCAGCATTGTCACAGGCAAATCTTGGGTTAAAATGCTCTGATTTTTAATATTGTTTCTCTTTTATATTAAGAATATACATCAAAAAAAGTTTCATAATTTTACAGAACTGTTCCTTTGTAGTTTCTTGATTTAATCTCTTTGGCCTATTTCACCTTTAAGAACTCTTSAGCTTGACAGACTGGATCCAGCTTTGGCTTTTAAGATACACTTTGCCATTTTGTGTGTCAGCCTTAATCCATTTGTCTGTTTCATCCCTTTGATTCATGTGACCTGGAAAAGAGAGTTCTGTTAGTTTAATTTGACACACAGTAACCATATCATCTTCACATTGTCATTGTCTTCCAAGCTCCCTGGAAGCACTTATAGCACTTTTATTTGGTAGAATTTGTGTATTTTTTACCACAGACTCCTGATGTTTCCTCCTTGATACAGTTTTTTGGCATTAATTCCCATAATACATCCTTACAATAGAGCAGTGATTTTTATTATACATGGCCAATGGTAGGTCCACCTTGGAGCCTGGTGCTGGCTTTGTAGGATATAGGGGAAACTTCTGGCATCATTTGTCTTCTTGTGACAATGCCCTAAAAACAACCCCCCACAACCCTGAGATATCTGTCTTCTTAAGGGTTTCACATAAACTTAGTATTCACAGTCATGATCTGAAAAGCTCACTGTATAACAAAGAARAGAGTTCAACTTAGTCTCATTTTATAATTAAGACACTGAGGCCAAGAGAGGATAAGTGACCTTCCAAATTTATACCAAATATTTGTGTCCATATTGGGAACTAAACTGGGATCTTTTAAGTCCCAAATTGGTGCCTTTATCACAAGATCAACCTCCACTTTGGTTTATCTTTACAAAATACCATTTATTATTATTTCAGTGTTCATTTAACTGTGTGAATTCTAAGTTTAGAACTWATTTGAGCCTGGAATAGCAAGAGGGATGGCAGGGAGGCAGATCCTAACCAACTTTGCAAACATGCTCTGCTTTGACCTGTAACACAGCTGAAGTTAAATTTTGGCTGCAGCAARAACAGTGGCAAAACTCCAGCTGACATCACTGCACTGTTTTCCACAACTCAGGCCTACGTGCCAGAACTTTCCAAGAGCGTTTCAGTGCTTTAGCAGTTCCAAGTGGGATTCATTTAAGTTTATGGGCCAAACCCACAGCAATTCACAATAGGATGAGGTATGGTTTGAAAGCACAGAGTTCTCAGGAGTCCAACAACGTCAGAGTCACTTCAGTGTCCCCTGTTATCAGACTCCAACAGGTTTTCAGGTGTCTCCATGGGGATGTCCTAGGAAAATTTCTGCCCTCCTGGCTGCTCCAGAGAGCAGCAGTCTCAGTCACACTCAGTGTCAGCATCATTTCTACTGYAAAGCAGAATCCACCATCTAACTGCAGACCTAAATCTGTGATGATCATTACCAAGTTGGACAAATGTGTTGTACATGAARCCATTAAAATTGGAAAATTCAGTTCCTCAAAGCTTTCCTGAATTGCTAATTTGCAATAGTATTGTATCAGAGAATACAAAATGAAAAYTAAAACTGAAGCTGTCTTTTAAGCACAGATGGCACTTAAAACTGATTTTTAAACAGGAAACAGCCTCCAGATGAAAAAAAAATTGAACCAGCAAAGAAATATAAAGGAAAAATTCAGTTGATCCTTTAACAGAGCTGTAGAACACTAAAAATACAGCTTTTTCTCCTAAGGAGAGAGGACACAATAAWTGCAGAGCAGAGATGTATTTCCAGAAAGTGCATACTGGAGTGCTTAGYCCCAGTTCCTCTCTCCCATGTTTTTGTGACTATGGCTTGTACTTCTGTACAAGGAGCAAACACTGAATCACAGAATCAGTGCTGTAAATGAAGTTTCACACACTGCTTATACCTTGCCTAAAAAGTTAAAGATTTTAAGGAACACAGAAACAAATTTACAAGAGCCATTTTAAAGCTCAGTTGTTGTCTGAGCTCTGTTTCTCATTTTGCTTTTGCTATGTAAATGTAGAAAAATGTTTTGTTCCTAATACTTCTGGAAGTTTGCCTATGAAGCAAATATTAAGGTTATTAAGCCCATTAAGGTTAGTAGCAGGTTCAAAGATATTTAAGATATTTAAACAGCTTTGTGTATGAGGCACTAATCAAGAAACAAGATTTAGTTGGAGACCTTTCGTTGACCGCTCGGGTCTTAACTGTACTCACTGCTTGTACTCTGAATACTGTGCAACATAAGTGGATTTTGAAGAAGACTTTGCTAGCTTGATTAAATCACAAAAGCAAACAGCCTCCTGGATTGAGAATGGGAGGGGGTGGGAGGGGAGGAAATTAATTTCAAAACCAACCAGTCAAGGCGCCATGCGTTCAGAAGACAGATACAGCAATATGCTGYATGGCCACCTTTTCCATTTAATGCCCAGGAAAAAGATTGGGTTTTTTACCCTCTCCAGCATGTGGTGTCTAAAGGAAGATAACAACTTTGCAGAACTTTACAGCCAAACAGTCAAAAACTGACTGTTTATTTACTTGCCTTCCTGGAGACTGGAAAAGTTGAGAACTCTATTTTCATACCATAAAACAAAAGAAGAGGATCATATTTTAAGTGTTGTTCATTGGTAGTGTTAGGRCTGTGGTATATATCAAAAGGCTGTGAACAGCTTGAGTTGAATGCAAGCTGAAACCAATAAAAATCTGTAGGATAGCATCTCATCTAATGTGTTTAATAAAAGTTGGATGAACTTTCTGTTTGACTCGAAGGAATGTAATCTTTTCCAGACACAACCTGGGTCTTTGTTTATTTCTTTTTAAGATATTGCTTAAGGATCAAGGCTTCACAGAGGGCAGTGTGTGGAGGGACACTGTAAAACAAAGCTCTTCCCACTCAATTCTAGTGGCCAAGCATCAATAAAAACTGCTCCTAAGAGAGAAGGAAAGTTCTGAAGTGCCTTGAGAACAGACAAAAGAGAGGGGCCATGACAGCAGAGAGTGTTACTCCTGGGAYCAGAACTGTAACGCTGACTGCAACAAACCCAAGACAGCTGCACAGCGGGAGAAGGAGCTCTACACTTGGGCAGCTGGCAAGCCTCAAATAAAACCTGAAGTTTCAGCACTCTGACATAATACAAGCTCTTTCAGTTATTTCCCTTTTAAAGGCAAGTTGCTCGCCTCATGTTATTCACTGCCCCTTCAGCTGTGTTTGTGTTCACCTCTCAAACTCCAGGCAGCTAAAAACACAGACATTACCGTGGAGTAAACAATATAGAATTTCTCATAATGAAGACTCTTAAAGACACCCATCCATAAACCTTTGTGCACGGTATAGGAGAYTCATGCAGTCAGCCCCCTCCTGCACATCAGCTTTAAAGCAATCCTAAAGGGAAAGCCACAGCATTCCATAGGCTGCTCTCCCAGTACTGTACGGGGGACTGAGTGAGCAGTAAATTATTCCTGATGGTAGGAAACATGTCTAGATCCCCATTGCTCCAGCAGGGAACATCAGGCAGATGTGAAAGTTGTAATATTTTGGTGCATGCCTAAGTGAATGATTGTTGTAAGGAGAGAGGTGCTTCTCACCACAATCTACTGGGAGAATCAGGAAGGATGAGAAGACTTGAAGCATGTTACTAAGAGAAACCTGAAAAGTCAGACACAGGACAGTTGTGTCAATGTCCATCTTTTCAAAGCAATCTGGTAATTACAGAGAAGCAGGAATAGARGAATATCCAAAATTAGGTGAGTCCCTGGCACCACTCAGAGGTGGAGATTTACATGGTTTTATATTCCAGACAATTAGGTTTGGAAATTGACACCATCAGCCACAAGGATTCAAATAAAGTGAATGACTGTAAGACTGGTTCCAGCAAGTTTACAGCTGTCAAGAACAAGCTGACAACTAAATTGCATGTCCAATGGCTGCATTTCATTTAGTCCCCATCCACCCACACTACCTTCCTTTGTTCCTGTGGGGTGGGTGGGAACAGATGGTCACATCAGCTTGGRACAAGAGAAAACAGGGCTGAAAGCAACCTCCAGAGGAAGCACTGAGTGTATCCTGACTTGCTCATATCACCTGTTCTTCACACTCTGCAGCACTGACAGCTCTACTGCCTCTCAGACAAATGCTACAGGAACTTTACCTGGCTATTTAATCAAGTTTCCCTTACTATAAGGTCAAGTCATAATTTCTAGTCCTATTACCTGGRGACAGAACAACTGATTTCTTTATTTCTCTCTACCAACTTCTTATGTGCTAGGAAAATGCATCTTCCCTTTGTCTTCTCTTTTAAGAGAAAAACACAACTTTTCAGTCTTCTCTCATTAGCCATGATTTTAGGACTCTGATCACACGCTCTCCTTTAGAGACTACAGTTTTGAAGTACAGTACTCAAAATTGGACACATTCCAGCAAAGTATTACTAATGCCATGTAAAGCCAAAGGATTATTTTGACTTTCACAGAACAATCATGTTAATATGCTGGAAAATGGCCTAAAAAACATGTAAATCAAGATTATAAGAACTTCAGCCTTGACCTTCCACATGTTTGCAAGCCCTTTGACATAAGTCTTCTAAGCTCCTTTTCTGCTTAAATATTTAACACTTTTTTAGCCTACTAGTCTTCCTCTTACCATATATAGTACCTACAGCTAATTACCTCCACAGGCATCTTAAACCAGCTGATTTCAGAACACAGGCAGACCTGGGGACAGGGAGAAGGCAGACACTGAGCAGCAGGGCTTCCCTACTTGCCGGGGAAGAGGAAGAACACCTTGACACAATTCCAATAAGAAATTACTGGAATTACTCAAGCACTCTAAAAGCAGACAGCCAAACACTTCCACTCATGGAAGCTGGACCAGTGCTTAGCATGAGCTCTGTTTTTGTAGAAGATTTCATTATACCATACATACTACTTCTAAGAGTGCCTACTGATGCCAATGGAAACAGATGCCTTGCCCTTGCAAATTACTTCAAAAGAATAAACTCTCTGTCACTGCCCTCTAGTTCTCTCCCCTTCTCAGCAAGTGCCCCAATTTTCCAGGAAGTCCTAAAAGAGCAAAACATGTTTTCACACTCTGATCCCCCTGTCTCTAGAGCATTCACTCCAGACTTTCATCTTCTTGCTTTCACTACATCCCACTCTATTCCTTAGCTATCTGGCAAACCCCTGGATATGAGTCCTGGGGCACTGCAGTGTGCTGACTGTCCCCTCGGTGTGGAGTGGGGGCCATGCAGCCACGTGATGATGTACACAGTAACTGCTCTAAAGAGTAGGGAAGGCTTTCCTGGAGCAGGTGACAGACTAAGTGCCTGTTTAGCCAAGTCACAGAACTCTGCCCTGGCTTCCCACTGGACAGCCTTCTCTCTAACATCTTCATATGTTACTTGCCAGAGGCAAGTAAAGCTTCCTAAAAGCAGACAGGTCCTGTGCTATCCACAAGAGAATTGGATTTGCTGAAAAATAATCTATTTTTAAACTAATCTTTGAACTCAAAAGTATAAAACCCCTAAACTGCCATGCTCTTGTCTTGTGATACAGTTTTTAGCCACTTGGCCAAGCCCTTCTTCACTCTCTATTTTACATTTCTTCAGTCAGCTATGGACCTCATACCCGAAATTTCAACAGTGAATACTGTTCTCAGGATACAGAAACTGTATTACATGGTTTTCAGTTATTTGAGAAACTACTTGTACAAGAAAATTACCAAATACCAACTTTCARAAGTGATTGTTGAGAGGGGCAAATGTTTTGCCTGCAGAAAGAATACACCAAAAGGTAAAGAGAAACAGAAGCATCTCCCCTTTTGTATAAYCCTTAATATTTTGTGTAATGTTTAACTTCTTTAAACAACTGATAATCACTGGCCTAATGTTGTAGCCTTTGCATAATTCTTGATGATTTCCATGCCTTTGGGRCATGTGTATTTGACAGTTAACTAATCAGAGTAGCTTTTGGCCTCAAGCRCCAAGATAATTTCCATACAGAACAGTGCGTTGAAAAATTGCATCTGCTYCAGTGATGACTGTCCTACATAAACACTGACTGGATGGGAAACCAGAGAAGTCATTCAGCTGTGTATATTTGAAACACCACTCTTATCTTTAATGTTGCCAAACCAGCAAGATGACTGACTGGCCAGTGGTCCCCATTCACTGAGAAATCTCATTTTACTGCTGAGGGGATTCATTCCATAGAGCCTTGCTAAAATCTGGGGTCCTTCCACACGTTTCTGGCTGGAAAACTTCTAATTATGGTTTTTTTAAGATATTGTATTTAATAATCACTAGTAAATTTAAGTGCCAATTACTGTTCCCAGGCAGGAAGAGATATASAAGCAGGCTACATATTAAAATTATGTAATTACACTTCTAATGTTTCCTGACTTCGAGATTACCATCTCACATGGGGGTGTAAAAGTTTTTGTGCATATTTTCTTGGGTTTAAAACCAAAGCAAAAATGTGCAATCACATCGGGTCACACTGACATAACACGTTCAAACACAAAGCTGGAGTCTCAGACACACTAAGTTAATGTTTTCTCTAGAGCAAACTGTGTAACATAAAAACAACAGCCTTAACTTTGAGATAGACACATCTGGAGTGGGGGAGAGAAATACACAGCCTGACAGTGAATTGTATGACTTTCCTAAAGCAGGAAACAGCAAGACCTGGATTCTCAGCTCCATTTTATATGTATCACAAGAATGCTTCCAGTAATTGCAGTACTTCCCATGTACTCTCCATTCCTCCAGCTCCAGCTTCTGCTCTTCTCCTAATCATCTCCCACCCATCATTTCTCAGCCTATCCTGCACTACTGTACATTTATAAATATGCCATATACCCTTTTTACTTCTCCCTTTGACTCAGAAACAGACAGAATTTTTTTTTATTATATTTTTAATATAATAGATWGCTTAGGAAAGCCTGCGTGACTTTCTAAACCAACAAAGAAAATTCAGCTCTGGATTATCTCCCACAAATTCACTGGACTAATGCTGAGGAGGAACTTGGCTCTAAGACTTGTGAAAGTAATCAACCTCTTCTGACAAAAGTCATTTACTTTTTTTTTATTTACCAAATAAAATTTTAAACTCATCCAGTAACATGGGGAGTACAACAGCACAAGCAAACATCTGAACATGAAGCAGATTAAACAAGCAGCCGCCAAGGGCAATAAACTAATAAAGAAACGTAGATGCCTTTGCTTCGTCCAGACAGACATTTATTGGAAGCCAAGATTAGTAAGTCTTACCACTTAGAGTCACGTGGTCATCTTTGGAGTCACTCTGTGTTTCTTTTAACTGGATCTCTGAGCTCACATCCACTTTTCTTCCAGACAGCTCTAAATAGGCTTTGAGGGACTCAGGTACCTTGACTGTAATTGAACCTGGTATAAATTTAAGTGAAAGCTAGTCAGTTTAACCTGAGATCAAAGCATGAAACAGGCCATTATTGCACTGACTTGAATCAATCTGTTCATTTGTTTGTACTTGGTTGGGTTTTTAAAAGTCTTCAGACCCAGTAACCTATTTTTTTGGTCACTGAAAGGATAAATGAAGCTATATTCTTTTATCATAAACAGAGATTCCATGTCCCATACAGAAAAYGGTATCACAGCATTTCCTTTGCAGACATGAAACTAAACTTGGACACGTGCTTCTAGCAATGTCTTCTGGTACAGAATGATCAAGGGAAGCAAATGCAATAGATCTCACAGATATTCTGACTTCARTTTGATATTCAGACTTTAGTTTAATCTTCTAGTTGCACATTGACATTCATGAGCCGGGACAGGGCTTGACAAATAATCCAGTCACTGTGTGGCACATGATGAAAGAATTGCTCTTCTGGAAGGATGAGATGACACTCACTGACTGTGAATCCTGGGAATTGCCTTTGCTTTACTGCTCAGGGCCAGCTGCTCATGTCTTCCAACAGATGCAGTCTCAAAACTGACCAAGCAGTTTAGACTATGCATCACTCAAATGTAAACTAGAAGCAAAATTGCAGCTTTGGTGGCCTGAATAATTCTACTTTGAGATTAAARCCAGAAATTCCAACTTCTGCTTCCCCTAAATATGTGCTGCTCTACATTAGACCAAAGGCAGACACGGGGCCCCTAACCTGCCCACATTAGTCACCTCTGGAATAACTCAGTCACAAAGTTTGGAAGCTCTGGCCTACACATTAGATCAAAAACCTGAAAAATTCAGAATGCACTTCCTTTATATGTGCTCCTTAGTTTTTGCTCCATTTCAACATTCACTTTATAAAAACATATAACAATTTCTTGGCATGCCAAAGGCTCAAGCAAAACACGGTAAGAATAACAGCTGAGCAGCACCAGAAAGCAGCCCTAGCTAAGCAATTTAGACTCAGCAGAATCACTTGCCTGTGACAGTTCTGATGAACAAGTAACTTCCAGTATAATTTAGGCCTGCATTTTGCTGGATACACAAAAGCCTTAGAACAAGAAAGTGAAAAGGTCTTCATCTTTGGGTCCTCTTTGGAGAGCTGCTCAGTGATGACTCAGAAAACCCGACACACATGCAGCTCATTTATCACAAACGGGACATTTTTTACACTGCAGCTGTCGGCACTTATTCTGAATTTACAGGGTAAACAGAACTTCAACTTTGCCTTTACTACACTGCGCTGCCAGAAGAGATGTCAGAAAATGTTTTGAAAATAACTTTAATTAGCTTTTATGAACTACATTCCTCTTTGCTACTAACTCTAAGAGACATTTACTTAGCAATAAGTGATACAAAAGGTAACCAAGAAATAATACAAATTCCTTTGGACTAATGAAACCAAAATAGATTGTACAGAAGGATGTACAAATTATTTCAATCCACTGACACCATCAGTCCCATTCTGAGCAACTGTTAGGTTTTAACAGGCCACAGRCACTGTCTCACAGGAGACAGAAGTGTACTAAATACCATGTTCATTTAAACCACCTGAAGTGCCTGACATGACATTAAAGTATAAAAATACTGTAGTGTTTTTATTCGTTTTGAATTTTTTGTTTGTTTGCAATTGRTCGGGGTTTTTTTCAAAACTAGGGCTAATGAGATGTACTCAGGGCATTGTAATTTACAGAATCATATCTTCTGAATGGCAAAACTATGAATTCAATTTTAGGTGTGAGCTTTTAAGAAAGAAATTAAATTTTAGTGAGCAAGCAGGAGAGAAAATGAAGGAAAAATGGTAGGATGAGGCTCTCCCATCTTTGTTTTTCTGCCTTCAAATGTTCACAGTGGGACATTTCAGTCAGGAGGCAGGAAAAATAAATGTATGTGTGTCAGYTATCACTGCACACACAGCATCATGGAGAAGACTGTGCTCAAGGCAAACAAACACGTAATCCTAAACAACTCTGCAGAATTCTGCTGGGTACATTGCCAGGAAAAAAAAATTTAATCCACCTTAAGTATCTTTGTCCCTTACAGAGATTATTGTATTTAAAGTATTTATAGACATCTTCCAATAATGAGGCAAAAAAAAAACCATAGTTAACCAACAATCACAAACTATTGTTTTACTGACAGATTTTAAAAACACYCAAAACAAACCCTTATCCCCTTTTCTTCTACATTAAAATCTGCCACAAAAAATATTTGATTTAGTCTGCTAACCTTTCTGGGATTTCAGATCCACTTTTCTTAATTGACTGACATAAACATCTATCGTCCCATGATATGTAGAAGCTTTTAGACTCCCATCTGATGAATCTAAAACAAAAGAAAAGAAAAGCACTTTTAAAATTCACTTTTAAAATAAACATTTGCAAGAATCTTTCTTTATATGTCGAACTTTATACACCACATCTTGTCACACAGACTAACTGAATACAGGCTTTTTAAAGTCTGATTCATGACATCTGAATTTTCAGCAAATGTTTAATAYATGCAGGAAAACAGCATTTGTTCTGTGCCCTGGAATAGGGAGTCCTACATATTCCTTTACACCTTATTAGCTGAAATTTATGATCACAAAACTTTGTGAAGAAKCACTTTTACAAATAGAAAGTCTTTACGAAGCTTTAATTATACACTTGAGTAGTCTTTAATTATTTGCAACGTATTCCACTTTTAAATACATATACTTCCACAATATTACAGTAAAGTCCCAAAGAGTTTAYCTTCAAGCTACTGAACAGACCTATACCTAATAAAAATTGCAAAGAAATTTGAAGGAACTCTAGAGGAGCATAAAAAAATTACATTTGTACATGAACAAAAGGCAGTTGCTGAAAGGTATTTTTAGAGACAATRCTAGAAATTAAAATATTGGCAAGAAATCCTGAGATACTGATAGAAAYTGGTTTCTGGATGTGCGTAGAAAAAACCCAACAGTCAAACGTTCAGAAGTAGCTAAAATAAAGCCAAACCTGAATGAAACTTCCCATTTTAAGAAGTAAAAATATTAATGAGAAAATGAACTTGATTAATTATAACAAGGATGTCTTATATTAATGTTTTGTTTATGTTTTATGCTAGCCATACAGTTTTAGCTCTAAGTAAACTCATCAGCTTTTCTGATGCCAGATTTCAAGCAGATGCCAAAGATCAGTGCATTGCTTACAACAGCAAAAACACGGAAACAGATCATTATCCCACAGCTAAAGCTGATTTCTTTGCAGGGGAAAGTATTTTTAAAAAAGCAGCTGAGAAACTGAGACCAGCTCTGGCTAACAAGAAAATATTAACTAGAACTGGATGTGAATGTTTCTGCCATCTCAAAGCTTCATGTTAACGAAGGTCTGTTACAAATCTGAAAAAAATTACCTTTTCATGAATAATAAATTGGAAAATAATTTTGCTTGTGTGAGAATGGAACATTTTAATTGATGACTTTTTAAAAGGTTGTTCATAATAGTTGAAAAGTTAAAGTCATTAGAACTGGAAAATTTGACATGCATCAATCTTTTTTATGAACATTTTAAGCGGTGATAGCTTGAGGTTTTCATGCAAAAGCTGTTTTTGMAGATATTCCCCACCAAATTTAGTAACTGCCAATTACTGACTCTCCACATAAACTTGACAGAGATTTTGTTGGCAAAASATACAGGAAACATCCAGCCTTTGACTCTTCTGCTTTAAACAGAATAAGTTGAAATAAGTTAATAAGTTCCTTTATCTGTTCTAGGAAGAAAGAAGAGTCTCCTGTGACAGGGCAGCAGTTCTCCCCACAGAGAACAACTGCAAACAGTCCACACATGATGGTGCTTTACAGGGACATTTATTCAGTGAATTTATCTTCCCACTTTTCAAATGCAAAAGTAGCTCCTGCGAGATTCTTCCCAGAGGAAAGATGCCTTTTTGTAAATCTGCAAGACTGAACAAAATGTTCTGACCTAGAGCTTCAATTCATAGATACTAAAATAAAAAGAATCCTCATTTTGTGAGTGACTGGAGTCTGTTTGAGAAGGCATCAACATGAATAAAGGATGCAGGAGCAGGGCAGTAGGCACAGGCTCAYCAAGGCACAGATTTACCAGGAAAGACAGAAACAACCTCAAGGGAAGCAGAACATTTTTCCATTGAGGAACAGTGTTTTGGGAGGAGGACTTGCCAGATTTTGACTCCCAGAGTACCTCCCTAATACAAAGTTTCCTATGGCAGAAGAAACTACAGCAGTTCCAAAACCTCCAAGAACCTTGGCAGCACTAAACAAACACTAAATCTGACATCAAAGCACTGTACATAAACAACTGCTAAGCTTTGACCTATGGAAGTAACATGAAATATATTTTATGGAAACAACTGAATGATTTATGTAATGAATGTCACAGACAGGATATTAAATGCAAGTGCACAGATACAATTAACACCAAGAAAGATGGAAGTGTTAATYACTTCTGCAAAGTGCATAAAGATGCTGTTTTAAGTTTCTGCTTCTAACCCTTAACAAATAAAGGGGGACAAAAAGGAAAATGGATTTTTTTAAAAAGAAACCAAAAGATGAGCTGATGTAAGAAAAATTGTCCAAATCTAAATAAATAAATAAATAAACAGTGAAAAATTACCCTATAGTAAGTAGCACAGGCTGATAGGGCAAAATACATAAATAATAATGTAAACAATACATATTTTATGGCTATGACAGAACAAACCTAAGGCAATTTATTTTTATATATATACCCAGTTTAGCTGATATGAATGTGAATAACCCAAGGTAGAAACAAGGAAAAATATATTGTTTGAATTCAGAGTTTGCTAAGGATTGACAGGGGAAAAGTTTTCTCCAGGTTTTTCAAGGGGAAAAACAAGGRTAAAGCCTTTTACTGGAAAGGGAACAGATGGTCACTCTCGAGCAGCTTCAGCTATTTAAGAATTTACTGGTACTKGAGAAAAAAGATGAAAGAAAAAGGGCACAGTGAAGCAAGATGTCCTTGGCAAAGTCTTTGTTAAGTTTTATGGAAAACAAATAGAGCTTGAAGAATAAGACCTAATTCACAGAACCTGAGAAAGACTGCACAATTRAAGATAAGTGAAAGGCCTACAAAGGTAACATTTAGTATCACTTATTACTTCATTTTATCAGTCAAGTATTAAAGAAAGGACAAATGATCTGTCCTTAAATCTAAGTGAAAATGTACTTTTCCTAATAGCACCTAAAGACTGGCCTTGTTCATGGTAAAAGCAGTGACAAAATCCATCCCAATAAGAAAACATGAAATAATTATTATTGTGTGATTACAGATTAGAGAAAGCATGAAATTCCAACATATCTGAAGTGTGATGAAGATTCAATTCCTGCTTAACTAACTATTTGGTATTGCTTACTGATACAAAACTGGCAAATATTCTTGTTTTAGTTCATTGTTCTAAAACTGCCGTAAGTTTCATAAGAAACGGAAATGTATTCACTAAACAGACTTCACTATTATTTATTATTTAGAATTCACTGAATTGCACATACTACTGAAAAATCCTTAGCAGTCCTGACCATACTCACCCTGGGGACCTGTCAAAACAAATGATGCAACACATAAAGCAAGGAAATCTCTCATGAAAACAATCCCTTTCCTAACCAAGTTATCCACACTATCCTTTTATCTCTTAATGATCTATTTTCTATCCCAATTTTAACATATATCCATTGGTTGTAAAGGCCATAGTCTCTTTTTGAAAACTATTCTGCTCCAAAAAAAGCCCAAACAATGAAAYCACCTGGCTTGTCTAGTTTGGAGAAAAGGAAGCTGAGGGGTGACCTCATTGCTCTCTGCAGCTTCCTGAGGAGAGGAAGGGCACAAGGAGGTGCTGAGTTTTCCTCCCTGGTGTCCAGTGAAAGGATGCATGGGAATGGATTTTCTTTAGGAAGCATTTTTGTACAGAGAGAGTGGTCAAACACTGGAACAGGCTGCCCCGAGAGGTGACCATGCCCCAAGCCTCAGTGTTTAAGAGCCCTCAAACAAGACACTTTAACTCTTGACCAGRAAGTTGGACTGGATGATCACTGAAGGTCCCTTCCAACTGAAATAAGGGATAAGGCCTTGAGGAAATTAGTCAAGTAGGAAGTGTTCTCATATTTTTAGCATTGAACATCTTAAAATCTTCTACCTTTAGAAAAATCCATACAAATACCAAGGACGTTTAACGCTCTTTAGGAAAAGATGAAACCTAACTAGTGCTTTCAGATTTGAAATCTGAAAAATAAAGTTTCTTCAACTGTAAGATGTGTCTTAATGTTTAAGCTGAACCTCGTTAGTTAAAGAAAATAATCATCATCTGTTGATGGAAAAAGCTACCTTCTATATTAAGAAACCTTTATTCAACCACTCTTCATAGCCTATGAGTTTATTTAAGAGAAGGAAAAACAGCCTAGCAAGTTGAATTTAATTCTGTGGTTTAATGACTAACTTATAAGAATGTGTCTTGCATTCATTTTCCAGGAATGCCAATATAGAGCTCTTAGAAACATAAGAAGAGTTGTTAACGGTCCCTGAACAATCCTTAGAGATTGTCCCTGCAAGATCTTTAGTGGGTGACTACAGTTAATACCATTAGCAAAAGTCTTCACAATTTCTGCCTGAGGAAATCTTTCTGCATTCAGAAGACCACTGAGCCTTGTCTGTGATTCTGTTACTTCAACTTTCTGCCATGGAAATAATTAGAATTTGAATTTCTCACTATTGTGTTTGTGTGCTATAAAAAGCACTGATATATCATAATAACTCTCAGCTATCCTGTTATATAAAGTTTGCCTTCATTTCTGAYGAAAAAAACTATCAGCATAATAGTTTGAAAACCCTGAAATTATCACAAGCCTTTCCATCACCCCCCAATTATTCAATACATCATCATGATTATCTTCCTGATATAAAAATTTAACACAGCCAATAATTCATAGCAATAAATGCAAGATAGAGAACAATGTTACAGGCACAACTGCATTTGATGTACACTCAGTGTTTTCRTGTGTCCTTTCATCACATCTTTATCTAAAAGATGAGTCCTAGACTCAGCCTAACTTGTGCAATACAGTGAGTATTGGGTATCAGGTGAGATGGGGTGCCTTGCCCAACCACAAAAGGTTGARTTTGGAAAGGATCTTGTTCAGCCAGAGTTATCAGTGCTACTCCTGAAAAGGAGGCAAAAACATCTGTGTGAAATCACCTCCTTTYTACTTCCCTGTGAATATTGTAGCTTTTAGAAAGGAGAAGGGAAGAGCAAGAGAGAGAGGGAAGGGCAGAACATACCTACTGTGATACTCCCTCTTTTGGTCTGAAGGCTGGTATTACCTATAATAAAAAGGGGGAAAAATGTTAAACATATCCTTTTAACCCATTATTTATTTATTCTAAATATTGTTGCTTTACAAACAAAAGCCTCAACATAGATGGGYAACAATGAAGTGATTCCAGACAAGAAAAATACTGAGTAAAGTCAAGGACAACACCTGGATGTGAGGGAGAAAAAGATGTAGAGTGGCATATRAAATGTTAATGCAAAATATTGTCTTATTTTATTTGGGGAATTTTTAACATTGTTTTGATGCCTGCAACAGCACTATGAATGATTTCAGCAGTTCAATTGGATAAATAGCATAAACACTTTCTATTTTCCTCWTTTATACACCTATACCCCATTTCTGCTGGAGAGAATATTGCTTATTATCTTCAAAGGCTACTTCCTGGACCCACTGAACATTACTCCTCCCTCCAAATTTATTCTTATGTGCATGACAACCCCTTGTCAACATTTCCACTGACTGCTATCTGAGTATGTTGGGCAAACAGGAGAGCATCAAACAAAAGTGGGTAAGGCCCRAAATGTAGAATGGTCTTCAGCCATCTCTATTCCTAACAGTCTAACAAAATTCTAGAAACTTCTACAGTTCCATGTATAAATGTCTCACAGAAAATGCTTTAAATTAAAAACTAAACATTTCATTCCCGCCATTCTCTCATCCTCCTGAGAGAATAACAGAATGAAGAGTAAGGTTGATCACAGTAACTGAGTCYAGTTTAATAAGACACAGTAGTCACAATTTTCAGATCTTTCTGAAGAGGTTTGAAAAATTGCAACTAAATCAAACTCTGTCCTAGCTTGTGTAATTACATAGTAGTAAACAACCATTAGGGCAGAGTGCATTCCACTGTATATGACCTGTATTTTTCTTAGTGGTTCATGGCTCAAARCTAGAAAAGCAGCCTATCATCAATAATCTTACATTCATCTTTTCAAGCACATACTGTACAAAATACTTAGGGGTTCTGAAAATCAGAGCAGAAACAAAAGCATATTTCAATAAACTTGAATGATGTTTGACTTCACTCCACTGTTTTTAAAAGGGATGATATAATTATCCCACCCTTTTCCCCATTTTGTCGTGGGGCACTTAGTTTTGTACAGAAAGACATGGGGTTTTGTCAGCTGGCAGCTCCCATGGAGCTGAAAGTAGATTATATGCAGTCTGTATATAACCCATGGGTTTGTTCTGTGTTTTTCTGGGGGTCGTTTTCTGTTTTGATAAGTAGATCCTTGAAAAATATTAAACGTGTAGAAATCAAATTCCTTTTTGCCATATACTTAAACAGCAGAACAACTAATGTYGCTCAATGTCAATACAATATATTAGTGTGAGAAGCTCACTTCAAACATCWAGCTAGGACTAAAGCTGCTTTTAAAGCAAACAGGAATGTCCTGCTGTGTTGTGACCTGCACTGTCTACACACAGTGCACAGAATTTCACTTTTGGTCATGTAACTCTTCTCTGAAGGCCAACATTTCCCTTAGGACTTTTAACTTAGGCAAGTATTTCTTGGACACAGCAAGGACAAAGAGAGAAAGACCTGACTCAAGGTAATGACTAGTTTGCTTATTACAACCGAGTTCAGCATTCTAATGTAATACATTATTGAATTTTGGATGTTATCTCCAAAATATAGTCATTATAACAAAATATTGGTRACAGTGCCTTGGTGTTTTGGACTTCTGTTGATTCTGAAAAAGAGTTATCTTTTCCATCAGCTACAAGCTTTGCTTCTCCATGAAAAATGTACAATTTCCAATCACAGTATTTCAAGTCAGGATCAGTATAGGATCAGGGGCTACAGACGGCTTTTTGATGTCAATAAAGGCAACACTTCAWGCTGTCTTATTTCTATTCCTTCAATTTATTTTGGAGGCTGTCAACAGGGCAGGGTTATTCCGATGCACAAAAAAGGAAAATAAATCATTATGCAGCTTTTTACCACTTTAAAAATTTATTTTATTTTCATTTCTTTTAGACATGTCTATATTTTAGACTGATGCAAATTTAAAAACTTTAAAAGCTACAATTCCATGCAATACAATTCCATATAGTGAAATCCAAAAACATAGCTGAAATTCATGGAACACACTTAGGTATATCAAGAGGTATATTTTCTGGAGGGATTACAGAATGTCAAGCTCAAGCATTGGACTGTACTACCTTTGGAAGATGGCAGATATTCTACTTTATCTTACTCATATCATTGACAAGGCAGTTGTATGTTCACCCTTTCCTATATACATATTAGTGTGCAAATATATAAAGTAACCTCAATAACCATGTTTTCCAGTGTGATTCTCACAGATAATTAAATAGTTACTAGACTATGACAAAATAAAAGTTCAAGAGAAAATACAGGTAAGGACCTAGGCATCTTGACAGACACCATCTCCAGTGGGAGTCAGTAAAGAAAGTCAACTGCATACTGAGCTGTATGACTGGGAGTACAGGCAGCAWGTAAAGCCTTCCTCTGAGACTGCACTTCAAATATTGTATCCAATTTTGTGCTTTCAAGTCAAGAAAGACACTGGTGTACTTAACTACGGCCAGAGAAGGGTATAGAGAAAAAAGACATTCTTATCATGGTGATGAAGCAAAAAGAAGGAAGAAGTAGCAATAATGGATACAAGTTGTAATGGAAATTATTATTAAAAAGGGGGTTTTCCCCCACCAGAAGAACAATTCAGGAATGAACCAAGATGTCCAGAAAGGTCAGGAATTTCTGACCTTGAAAATATTCAAAGGTCAATCAGACAAGGCCATGAGTAAGATTGCTCCAACTGAGCCCACTTTAAACATTAGTTGGGAAGGACTTTGATACTAGTCCAAACACAAAACTAAATTCATACAATAAATTAATAGTTAATACAACTCAACCCAAGACTTCGGAACAGCTGCAAAGAAGGGTTTCCTGTTCTTCCCACATGCCCCTTGGTAGAGAAATTTCACAGTAATGTTATTGTCTCTTAGACAAAGAAGAAATTTCTCAGGATCAGATTTCTTTTTCAAGTATMAACGCCAAAGCTCAATAGCACCTGACATCTCTAATGCCTTTTACGGAAGTCGATGAAATTTACCCAAAACCAACTCCTTCAAAACAATGCATTACTCATTTGCCATAGGAATATGAAGCATGCAAACGAGCAGTTGTGAAAGTTTCACACCACTATTGTGATTGTACAGTCTGAGTTTCAAACACAAAATGTGTCTAAGACAGATTTGTAAAGTCTGTGCTGCTCTAAATTCAATTTTCCCAGGGCAAAASGAATGAAACCTACCTTAGTTTTGTGCACAATGTGCTGATTTGATGCCAATTGTATTGTCAGCTATGGGGACATGGTGACTTCAGCTGCCTATGAACAATCTGTCCAGATCTTTACAAACAAAACTATTAAAACTGAGCTACCTCATGAGAAAATACCAGAAGTGAAAGTAATCATTCTTCCTAGCAGAAATTGATAGTAGGAGTTATCTTTTCCACTAATATGTGTCTGTACGTTTACTTTAAAAGCCTTTGCTCTTACTATTAAAAGATGATTGGGGAACATATTTTACAGAAAATGTTATTTTTCCCAAAAAAATAGACTAGAATTACCAAGCAATTGGTAATGTGCAATTGTTTTTAAAACACACAGCTAAAATAACATTAGGTGTTCCAAACCCATTTAGTAGAGAGGCCATAAAAATAATCCTGAAGTAACATACGAAATGTCTGCATAATCTGGATACAATTCTATTTGTTTTCACAATGTTCTTCAGCTTAATGACAACAGGCATTACCAAAGGAAGTAAGTCACTAACTTCAGCAGTTATGATTTCATTTTTGTACCAAAAAAATAAAAATAAACTTTTGGATGTGCACAGAGGCATGAATCTGCTCACAAATTGATCACTCCACGGTATCATTATATTGTATAAAGTTAGAAAAAACCCAAAACAAAACAGCATACCAGAAGCACCAGACACAATACAAGTCCACATGTTAGAAAAATACAATAAGAGAAAAAGCAGCTTATTTCTGCCTGTCCATGCTAAAATTAACTYTACCTAACAGGTTTAGAAATCATTCTCACATTTAATATAAATGGACAGAGGAGTTGCTCCTTTAAGGAATAAATAAGTCATTTCTCAAGAAAACATTAGCAAATAAAATTGCTAAGAAATTGCAGCAAATTCTCTGGAACTCTGAGCTGAGTAATTTTCACTCCTTCCGCATCCTCCAGTTTATTTTATTCAATGTTAAATCACTACAAATGCATTACAGCACAGTCAGAATTCCATGTGAGTTTTGTTTAATTAGAAAACCACAYCACATTTGCACCCCAACAGCTGCTTAAATTAAAGACTCTGTAGTTTATTAGTTTTAGGGGAAGGACACCAAAGGGTGGATAGATTAGAGACTGCTAAGAAGTTCTAAGAACAGAAACTGTCACCACTCYTAATAAAAGCTGCCAGCAAACACACAGGTTATTACTAATAAAAACCTCTAATTACAACTGCCTCCCATGACAGTTCYTAGTAGATGATTTAAAAGTTGTTCCTCCAGTTAAAAAATAAATGATGGGGAGAGGAGAAGCCTCTTTATAACTTTTAGTATCATTTTAATTGCTGAATTTTAGAATATTTTAATGTTTTTAGTATGTGTGACATTTCTTTCCTATAATACACACTTTTTGTTATTCCTAAGTGTGCTTATGAAATTGTTTTCAGAAATATAGTCTGCTAGGTGGTAAAAAATCAATTCCATCTCTAACAGAGATAGAACTGTTTTGTTCATGTACTGTGCACAGCTGATTCAGTGATAGTCTACTGCATTAGTCCATTTGTTACTGTGAATWTTATCGAACAGCTTCAAAGCAGCTAAATTTGTGASAGATTTTCCTTCTTACCATGAACAYTGCCCAGCATAATATCACCRGATTCTGAAGAGAGAGATGCTGATTCTGCATACAGATACTTCGTTTTCAGCAGCCCATCTTCAGTAGATATATTGATGGCTGWCCCCTGCAGCTTCTCTATATTTACACTCTAGAAGAAATAAATATAATGGAAAATTTGTCATCACAGCTTGAAAAGGCAAAGAGAAATACCACTATTAACACACAAAACAAATGGAAAGCAGTTGTTGGTGCAGGGTAAATGGAATTGGTTCTTTGTTAAAAACTATACAAGACAAAACAAAAAACCTTTTCATCCAAGAGCTCTGACCTAAGAACTAATGATTCTTCACAACATTCCTGTGAGTTATTGCATCTATCATTCAGGTGAAGAACCCAAGAAGTAACAAATGGACGAAAGAAAAACATGATTTAATTTTCAAAATTGAAATATTTCATTTTGAAAAGTAAAAAAAAAAGGATTTGTTTTAATAATGAAGACTGAATCTTCATACAGCATGRTGACATGAAGAGCATTGGTGATCAGTCTTCTGCCACCACAAACTGAAACATCCACTGTCTGTTACACACAGCTATTTATGAAGATTTTTAACTAGCTAACTTTGTAGGGGTATCTTCAGTCAAGGTTTGCAAAAAAGCCCCACCCAGCTGYTCTTTTTCTCAGTGTAATTTTCATATTACCTTTGTTACTCAGGCTTCTATTCTTGGACTTGAGCCTCAAGACATGCAAAGCCTTGAAAAATCAGGGATAAGAGCTCCATTTCTACTTCTTTTCAATAGAAACAGAGAGAAAGGACAGAATATGAAAAGTTGCACTATGAAWTTGGGAAATAAAAGGTGACAGATTAGTTTATCTATGTAAAAGTGACGAACCATGTTGTATAACTGTAATCTATTTGAACAAAACAGAACAATTCACATGCTTGTGCAACAACCATGTGGAATTGAATTCTATTCTTCCTCAGTTAAATTTGATTTATGATGGAAAATGCAATAATTCATACTTACCCCCACTCAATTTGTTTTTATTTTGCTTATGCAGACTTTCAGTGAATTGCACAAAATCCTTATTCATTACAGCAAATGGTTTTCTAGATCAAATTGTGCCTTACTCCAATTATCTTTAAATTCTTGTCATTTTAGTATTGCCAAGTTGTGCAAAAAACTTTGATACAAAAAAAATGTCTGTCGACCCTCTCAATCTAATATTATGTAAAAGAATAAGCTATGGATGAAGCAAGAGGTATTCTGACAAGGAGCCACTAGTGTTGCACAAACTCAGTGCTGCATTGTATCCCAAAAATTGAGCTGAAGAGGCTGATTTAGTATGGACTATACAACAGCCCAGTTATACTGTGGCCTTACCCATCCATTCATACTGAACTACTAAATCATAAAATTACAGAATGGACTTTTGGCTTAAGACATTTCCTGTGATGCTACAATACAGATTAAGTCTCTAAGAATTTAACAAGATACATTAAACTTTGAGAAAATCAAAATGCTACGCATAATCCATGCTAGAATTACAAATATGTGACAGTCAGTATCTACAATCACTGCAGGTGTTGCTGCTTAGAGCTATGCTACAGATATAAACAAAACCTTGTAATACTAAAGCACCATTTATCGCTACTGAAAGGGTCAGCAATTCAGATTTCCATTTTCTACTGCTTGCAACAAAACCCTACCTGWGACCTTAAACATAAATTTACATTGCATCTGTCCTAGGAATGCTTCCCACAAAGTATTCCCCTACTCCCTCACCCTGGATGGCGAAGTGCAAACCTGCTGTGACACATGGCCACAGCAACAAGTAAAAGAAAAGCCACTGTCATTTTAGGCTCTGTGATATCTAACGTACTCTAAAGAGTTAAATGACTTGCAAAAAACATTTCCCATTTGAGCAGGGCCATCAGTGATAGCACAATGAAAATAGAATGAGGCACACTTTAAAGGGAAGAGTAAAACAAAAACATCTGCATAGTCTGGGTACAAATTTGCTGCCTTGTGGCATTCCTAACCAGGCAAAGGAAAGTTCAAAAAGCTACATCTGTTACTATAGAAAGCAAGTTTTAACTCTACTGAGATATATTATTTTATTTAAAAATTAAGTGCTTTATTGTAAACAATCTCACATACCAACTCATTCACCAGCCTCAACTACCTTTCTTAAAATTGCACATTAATAAAAAGAGTTCTCAGCCCCAGACGAAAAGAAGTTACTATAAACAATAACATAAAAAACTATCAATACAAAGAACACTTGTTTCAGAACAACCCAAATCAGGGTAGGGACATGGAGAAGGGGGAATTCAGACAGTTCAAGTATAAGATTAAAAAAGTATTTTAGATGGGGAAAGCATGGAAAAATAGGATTGCTTTTCAGTGAGAATAAATATGTTTTCAATCCCAAATTCTTTAACTCTTGTGGATTTTTGGCAGAACATAGATGTCTGGCTCTACTAAGCGTTATAGAAAMGTCATCATGGCACAGATTAGCTAATAGCTCCCCAGTAAAACCAATTTCATTACTTTTGTCCATTGAACCACCAGATCTTCTGGAAAAATTCCTTCCCTTGGGCCTGGAGCCTGGGGGTTACAGTTACTGAAACTGACCACATGCTCAAGTTCCATTGGTYTCATCTGCATAAATCAGACTAAGAATGTTTTTGCCCCTGAACACATTTCGAAGATAAAAATGAAAATCTTGCTATGTTTAAATAAGACATATACAGCTCCTTCCCCACGTATTTCTGCTCTTGGCCTTCCTTTTTGTGCTATCATTGCTCAAATATTTTACTAGTGTCTTCTCCCATTTCCCCCCTTAAAAAATATTAATTTCTCAAGGGCTTAGTGCTTTTTACCACATCCTCTCCCTCCCCACCTCCAGGAGGGGGCTGGAAATGCTGACAGAGCCACAATTACATAAAGATGACTGCAACTGATGGAAGAAACACCTCATACAAACACACACAGGAGACATAAGGCTGACTGACTATTAACAGAAGTGGTCAACTGAAAAAGAAATCTGTCCTTCTTAACTACACTGCAAAGTTTGTTAGTGGGAAGTTCAGTAACATAAGCCAAAATACTGTTCTGTAGCTGTGAATTTGTACTAAACTGAGTCACTTCACTCAAGCTGCTACAGCTTTACAACTCTGAGAKTGACTTCTTGCAATACTGCATACTATATACAAATATTTATGGTCACAAAGAACCATTTCAACTTAATCTGTAAGAAGTTTGTTTAATTGTTTCAGAAAGATGATGTTTCTGAAGATTTAATTTTTAAAGCAAATAATTTTTATTTTTTAAAGCAAAATAATTTTTCCCATACAGACACAACTATTTCATTTACTACATAAAAGGCAGTTTAACACCCACTACAAAGAAACACAGATAAATTAATGCTGACAGTTTTTGGAAAATCCAATGGCAAGTTGCTTAGTTTACAGCAGGACATTAAGAACAGATCACAGCTGGCTCTATGTAAGTGAACATATGATCTGGGAACCCAACCTACAAGGTGTACAACAGTGCCAAATGACACTTCACAGAGGTGATTTTGGATGCCTGGAACTTAATAGCTTGGTTTCAAATCTATCCTTGGCAAGGGAGAGTTATCCCCACTTTCTGATTTTTCCCAGTGCTGCTGGTTTAAACGGTAACTATGGATTCTGACACAGCACACATCCAACTTTCTTCCAGACCTGGCTTAGCTCCACATGTTCATACAGCAATGCCTCAGGTCTAATGAATTCTAATACATGAACATTACGATACCTAAATATTCAAGCTGAGCCTAAAAACAAGCCGGTTGTGAGAACTGCAGCGAGTTTGGCTCTACGTTATTTTAAATACAGAAGGATTGCCTGTTTCTGTCAAGAAACAAAACCAGAGCACAGTAGTTTGTGGTTTGTCTCATACTGCCATCTACTGAAAAAAGGCAAGCTACTTCTTTAAAACCGTCTCCCTGTTGGTGATTCTTCCTACTGCATCTCACAGCAAGATTACATGTGATTGTATTTCCTCAGATGCAAAGAATCYGCAAAACCTTCTACTCTTCCACTCTTACAACCATATAATGCTGGAAGTGTACAGCACATGCAAATACCAGGCCACTATTCATGAGACACTAAATTAAACTCCTGGGCCACCTGCAGAATCCAAATGCCTCCATACCAGCCAAGGAGAAAGTTTAAGAGGTTTGTGAGGGGTCTGTATAATCACAAGTGAGGGTTTGCACCATTAGAACAACCCCTGTCCTGATGGAATGATCACACGTTTATTCCTTGAATGATCACACGTTTATTCCTTYTTTCTGCAGAGCCTTTTTATTAATCAAAATCAAGCACAGGACAATATAATCTAACAGACAAACCTAAGAAACAGTGAAATTACAATCAACCAGTGAGGGTTATTTAAATATTCTTTAGCACATTCTTCATATTTAGTCATTTTACAATGAACAAGTGGGTTAAGCCATTGAGGAGAAAGTTTTACTTCCTACTTACCCCCTTCTCAGTTGCACAAATATCTGTATTTCCATAAAGTGTTCCAAGACCAATTACTTTGCCACCATTTGTCCGTATATCAATTTTATGGCTCTGAAAAAAGTTTTTTAAAAAATCATACAATTAGGATAACTTGTTTTCTAGTAATGTTGTCTTGTTTTACAATTTGTACCACATTAGCCACCACAAACCTTAGTCCTGCAAGCAGAACCAGATTCTACAATGTTTCACTGCACAAAGATTCTAACTAAATTTGTTTTGCATAAAACAGATCTCAAATTTTTAACAAATTAGACAGATTTCAAGTAAAAACTGCTCTTTAGCCCCTATTTAAAACCTTTCAGCGGTTGCAACCAAGAGAAAAGAAAATACAGAAATACACATAAACCAATCTCAAAAAGAAAAGAAAAAAATCAGGTCCTGAGAATAAAATGTAACCATTTGTAAGAACGGAAAAAAAAAAATAATCTTAAAAAGTCATAGTTAAACGGTCTAATTGTACTCATAAGCTGCAACTTCAAAGAATCTGACTTCAAGAAGTCTACAGGTCTCTTCTTTTGCTTAAGTTTGCTAGCATAAACCTTTCTTAAAGCATTCAGCAATTTTTATACTTAATGCTGAATAAGCTAACACACAAACACATTCTCATGGATTGCATTTAATTTAGGACACCATCCATGAAATTTGACAATCAAAAATATCAGAAATATTCAAGAAACTTAGATTATCAAACACTTTTCTGGATGAGGCATAAATTGCACTAACTAGATCTAATAGGATGACAAGAAGGTTAAGGACTTAGAAAACAATTAAATCAAGCATGGAAAACATGGACACACACTTCTCCAATAGATTCCTGATGAAACACCAAGAACCACAAGTTTCATGGTTTCATAAGAAAGGAAGAATTCTAGAGCAGGGTTTCTTTATCTTTGTGTTCAAGTCTTGCTTCCCTTCTTTTAAGAGGTGTTCTCAAGTAAAATGCAACACCCCTAAATTGAGATTACAATAGTGCTTCAGACATTTTCAGGGCTGGAAATAACTGTTCATTTATGCTTCTAAACAAATACAACAGATTGTTCTCCCCTCACACAGTAACATGATAAATTAAATGTTTCAATCTAGCATCCCAGTTTCTTTGAGGCAGTTACACAAGGCACATTGTCAGAATAATGGTTAAACAGCCTATCATCCAAATATATAACTTGAGGAGATTATGGAAACATGCAMGGTTAAAAGAACTAGTGTATAGCAAGGGCTCACCAGCATGGCCACTGATTGTTCAGCAAAATAAAACCACAACACATACGCTAATTCCCCCCATCCAAAATTATTAGAATATCCTCTTAAAAAAAAAAAAACCAAGCAGGCTTTCAGAAGTAGATATCTCTAGAGACACCTAACAGACAGAAGTATTTGCTGAGAGAAGAAACCAGTTATAATGGTCAAGTAGCTTTTTCACCAAGAGGGAATATTTCACCAGCTGAAAGGAAAAAGCGCTGATTTGTCATAGGGCTTCTCTGAGTAAGGGGGAAAGGTTTGAGTAAGGAGGAAGCAAAAATCTGTCAAGGCCTTAACAGATGCCAAAGGAAAACCAGAAAAATTTGTTGAGGAGAAGGGCACTGGTGCAGGACAAATCAAGCTCAGACGTGGTGTGTGCTGAGGAAGCAGGGCAAGCCTTCTGCCAATGTGAGCAWGATGCCTGGAAATTCTCATTATCAACAGCACAGTCAAGGAGTCARAAGTAATTGAGGAACATGGAAACATAATTAGAGCATTTCCCTGGTCCTACTGCCACTACTAAGCTGATGGACTGTAATAAGAAGCAGGAGAAAAAAATTAAAAAGAAGAAGCACTGGTTTCTCAGTAATTAATTTGTGAATACTTCATACTCTGAAGAAGACCTAGATGCCATAACCGTATTTTAGAATTACTGCTGCTATCAGTTGACCTAGAGACTTGCAGGCAATAGGGTGAACTGGACTTCAGCCAATTAAAAAACAATCACCACCCAAAAAAACAAACAAACAAACAAACAACTCAATAAACCAACCCTCAACAAATCTCACTGGCTGGGTAATGTCTACCACATCAAATCTGCCAGACAAAAATCCCTTAATAAGCCTCATACAGACTCATCCTTTATGTTTAATTACTAGCATTCATGATTAAGGAAAGTAGATGTCAGATCTCTAGGTCTTCTGTAATGACACCATAGAATGTATAAAAAAAAAAAAGTCAAACACCATTTTTTGCATTGCAAGTTATACAAACAACTTCTTGCACRTTATAAAAATTAGCAGTTGTGAAACTGTTGGCTGGTACTTTTAAATAACCCCCACATGATCAGATTTTTTCCACTTAAAGTCATTCACTGATCAACGACCTTTATCTCCTGTAAAGAAAGGGTCTCCTTCTCTGTTAGTTAATGAGGTTTGTTAATGACAGCCAAGCCACATTAAAAGTTTTAATCCATCCAGGGGAGGGCACTATCACTTCAGTTTGCTCAGTAAAGCACATTCCCTAAAGGGGAATCAGCTCTCACGCTTCACTAGCAGCATCTGGTCTGTAAGATTTTTAGTAGCTTTGGAAAAACCCTAAAGGCTAAGACTTCTGCTTCTCACTAATAACTCTGCCTCTCTGATAACACAGAATATAATTCCTGAAGGTACAGTACTTAAAAACAAGGTTAGATTAAAACCCAGCTCTTAATTTTTAAAATTCAAGATTTTTCACATCTTGGGTTGTATTTGAGACAAAGATTCCCAGAAAATATGTTAGTGGTCTTTCTTCAAAATCATCTTTTCCTTGACACYACTTAAAAATTCTTGATTGGATGGCTTGAATGTTGTCATTATTGCTCACCAAAACCACGTTGTTTTCTCATATTATGCAGCTTCTCATATACTGTTGTTCTCATTATTACATAACAGTAATTTTTAAACAAAACTTTAGACAGGCAACACATAATACTATTAWCTTTTGTTAGATTTTAGGTAGCTTTGTAAGAGTAATATGGTGAATTACACAGAATCTGGAAGGTTCAAATTGTCTATAGTTCCCTAAATGTAGAGTAAACCTAGCTGRATACTATATTAAATCCCTCCCTAAGCTCAGTTTTCCCTATGTCTGTTACAAAATGGTCTCTTATCACAATAGAGAAAAACATTGAAAAAATTCCCGTATCTCAAAAAATTTGAAAAGCTCTTCCTTTGCACCTGGAGGTGGTGGTATAAATTCAATCTCAAACAATCAAGTGAATTTGATTCAAAATAGCACCTAAATCAGATAAACTATGATTAATTTTACAGCAGCTTATGTCAGCAAACTTGAAGTCTTAAGACTGAAAAAACAAGGTCACATCTATGATACAGACAGTATTTATCAGATACATTTCAGTCAGGTATTTTGGACATGTAATGTGTAACTCCTGATTGAAAATTAACTTACAGGGTTTGTCAATAGCTCTGATATATCAATTATAAAAAAAACCCCAAAACAAACAAAAAAGCAGCAGCATGCTGCAAAGTCATGATTGAGCAGGCATAACTATTAAKGTACTAGACAGGAAATCCCAATCTATATTTTTTACTTTGAGGGGCAGAGAAGACAGGGATCAGGCTCACTGCTGGCCCTGTATCTGCTGGCTTTGGCTATCACAGATACATGGACTTCTGACTCCACATTATTTACTGCTWTTGACTTTGAGCCATAATTGTATGCAATAATGAAAGGTGAGGTGCTGTAACATATAATACTATGAGTGTTGCAATGAGAARTACCAGAGTACTTCTCATCTCCAGAACTGGTATTTAAGTTTTGACACTATATCCCACCACACAATTCCTTTTCAAACAGTGGGGGAGGGTTCTTGTACCTTTATTGACTGCAAGACACTAGTCCCCTTCTCTGTTTCTATTTTGCAGTTATCACATTCTATTTTCTGAATCTTCACGCAGCCAGTCCCTGATGTTTTGATATCCAAATCTAGAATARAAAGAGTTTTATTAGCAACAGAATGAGAAAAGTCAGGTATCTTTAACATAGTATTTGACCATGTTACACAAAAGCAAAAAGGGAAAGGAGCAACTTCTTTGTTACTTAAGAACCTGCTTGCTAAGACTGGCCACACACTTTGAACTGCATGAATAGTCACTATCAACTATGGACTCTGAGAGTTCAGCAAGTCTGTGTATGAGCCATCCAAACCCAGGAAAGAACATAAAAAGGCAGCAGAATGAGAGGACCCMGAAGTCAGGAAATTCATAAACATGTCAGGAAACACGAGGGACTTCCAGAAATACACCATGTGCCTTGATTCTCTGGAGAGTCACAGCGCTTTTCCAGCCTTGATGTAACAAAAAGTAGTGGACAAGGATTTGAGCCCCTGCCTCTCCCCCTCTGACTTCCTGAACCAAGGATAAACATCTCCATAAAAAAGCAGACTGAAAGCTGGATAATATTRCCAAAGAAATTTTAACAAGGAGGAACAAGATACAATCTCTTTCAGTGCCAAAACTCCAAAAATAGCCAGTTTGATTCCTCCCTAGCAAAGATGAGGGCTGAAGCCAACTTYAGCCACACAAACCACAAAGAATGCATGAAGATCTTTGTGGTGTAAAACACTTGCATCAGGAATAAAGGTACATAGTAAAAAAGAAACACTTCGGTATCAGAATGTAGGCAGGGATACCCCATAGTATTTGAACAACCAGTTATTAAACTGCTTTAAACTATAATACCTGAAACAGACTGGATAATTATTTATTTTCAGATGACTCAGTAGCCCTAGACTACTAGAACTACCTCAAATTATGGTTATAGAAGACCTTAGTTCAGTTTACTTCTGAGTACTCATGCAGTCAATGTACAGTAACCAGAAATCAAAGAGCTGGTTTAARGTTTCTTAACACATGCAAAAATAAATAAGCTTGGCTAGACAAGCTTATTTGACACCTGCCACCAATGAAGGTTACCAGACTATGTACCATATTGAAATACTATACAAAGCTCAAAACTAGACACTAAGACAAATAGAGGATCTTTTGGTACTTGCCCTACTAAGCTGCTGACAAGCGGTCTTTGATTTAAAATGCATACTTAAGCTCAGCATCTTCCACACATGCTCTTCAGGCTCTAAGGAGTYTTAGATAACTTGCATCTTCTGGGATCAGCTCCAACCTAAATGGTGAAAGCTGTTATGAAACGCCTTAACTTCCAAAATGAAGACAAGCACTATGAAAACATTCAAATTAACCTCTCAACTTCTTACAACTGACTGACAGAGCTCAGACAAAATAGGTCCAAGCAGAAYAGAGTTAACATCCTCCTCATGCATCCAAGGGAAGCCAGAGAAAAACCAACGTGTTTGCAGAGCAACAACGGTTTCTTTCTAGTTCGAGATGTGTTTTTACAAGGGATAAGATCTTTTGCTTATGCAATGGTATTTAATGGATAATTCTTTTCTAAATAAACAGAGTAACTCAAGCACAAACTAATACTCTGAAGATCAAAAAAAAACAAACTAGAGCTGAAAGGACACTTAAAAGTAGAACCTCATTGGCAAGCAAAAATTCTGCTTCACTGAGTAAAAACCAAAAAAACCCACCTTACATTTTTGTAAATATATCTCTAGATATGCCTGGATTGCAGCATGAACAGAAAATACTAACATGATGCTAACTATGGAGTGATAAAAGCAACTTGTGGAAGGGCATTATAATCCACAGATTGTCCAGGGAATCTGAATTGCATGAGCTTACCACAAACCCAAGCGGAACASCTTAGAAATCTACAAAGAAAACCTGTTTCAAAAAGAAAGCCCCTAAGATTGTCTGCAGTGTTGGCTGACATTCACAACACAGTAAGAATCTCAAAGACAAGACAAAAGCTAAATAATTGTTTTCCATCAATCATGAYTCATTATAGAGGCTTTTAGGAAGGTTCCCCAGCTTGAAACCCTTTATGAAGGCCAAGATTCTCCAGATCTTAACACAATGAATTCCACCCCTTGAGAATAAACAWGTCTGGAGTGACTCAGAGATCCTGRAGAAACTGAAATATTAAACARCTACAGTATCCAGACACACCTGGGATCAGAGAATTGAAGGGTAATAARTGTGACACTGGGTTTGTTTGATTCTCAGTAATCATGGAAGGGACTCTGAATGTGCCACTGACAAACCAATGTAATCTTTGTGCTTGCCAAGCAGGGGAGGAAAAAAATAATAAAAAGAAGAGCTGTAAGATTGTAACCGAAAATTCTSAGGTGAGAGTCAAGACTACAAGATTCCTGGAGAAGACAGTCATGCTACAATWCAGTGACAGAGTCAATGAATCTAGAGGTTACAGTTGATCTGTTTYGGAGAATGAACTTGGATTTTCAAAAGTCTTTAACAATATCTTTAGCTCCACACTGTCTTTCAGCTATAAGCTATGTGTCACCTTCAACAGTACAAGAATTTGGAAATCAGCATAAATAGCAAGGCTGAAAAACTTCATCAGTGAYGCCAAATTATTCAGACTAGTTAAAAAAATCACTGACAAATTGCAGGAAGACCTTGGAAAGTCACATATTCAARTAATAAATAGGAGGAAATTAAATTATGGGACTCTGCCAGGAGTTTACCAGGAAGCTTTCACCCTGAAACTGCTTCCATGTGTAAATGGACACTCAGAAGAGAGATCCATTGAGGAGCTGAGCTGTATCACTGAAAATCCTGTAATGAAAAAAGTTGACAGCTAAGAGAATGTTCAGATGAAATATCATTTACATTTGTTCTCTTCTTACCCAGATCATCTGTTTATGACCAGAGACAGGGCAGTGGGCTGCTGGATTTATGGTAGAAATGAGTACAGCCATTCTGACAGAGTAAAGCATACTGAGGGCAGGAAGAATGAGATGCTCCTGAYTTTAGTTACAGAGTATTTGCGCATACATTAGTTACTAGGAAACAAACTCTAAGTTTTGATACACATATTTAAGAAACACCCCTTCAGTCACAAGCAGTGTTTCTAAAAAAAAAGAGTAAATTATAAGGRTGAGTAAGACTGGAAAATGTGAGAACGATGGTATGTCAAACCCATAAGACTTCTGTATTTTGAATTACATGTAGTTCAGGTCCTTCTAAATGAAAACAMTGGGGGAGAAAGAATGTTGCAGAATTTTCCCTAAGATATAGGGTAGGAAAAAAAGTAAGSTAAGGTAAAAGGTGCAGAGTATCTTTGCTGCATGTAATACCATTTTCTATGGAAGTCATACATTACATGTATGAGGAGTAAGTAGGATGGGATTATCATTTCTCATATCACAACTGCAGTAGGGCATCAAATGAAATAAAGCAACTTTGAATAACCTCAAGCAAAACAAGAGATCAGGTGCATTGTAGAGCAAAACGTTTTTTTCAGCATGGTGAAACATTCTGCACCGTATAGGAAATWGGCCAAATCCATAGGAGAAAAACAAAAACACGTTAATGRCTGAACACGATTCTCTGAGTCTGTACTCCCTAAACTTAGGGCCACTGTCCTAAGAACTGAATTTCAGTTCAGCAGAGRTGTTTATTGGTTTCAGCGACTACAGCTGCTCTCCCAAACGGTTCCACACAAGAAACCCTGCACAGATTTTAGCCTTGTGTCCAAACTGATAACGCAACGTTTGTACTGGACAAGAGAGCCCTTCTTGGTATTTCATTTGCACTGTTACYTTCCGGGCTGTTTTTGATCCTGTGGACAGCCACTCATGATAACAATGGGGCTGGTGGGTCCAAGCCCTACGGGGACAGGCCCTGGAGCGAGGCGGGCTCTGCCCGTGCCGAGGATGCCCCCTCAGAGCCGCCTTTCCCGGAGCAGCAGCGGCCGGAGCACAAATGACGGCACGCGTTCTAAGGACCACTCAAGCAGCAGCTTTAGCACAAACCACTGCTGGCAAAGGGAGYTAATCACGTGTTTAAACACCCAAGAAGTCAAGGAAAAAAATKGAATGTTTTGAACTAGCCAGGGCACGATGCCGTGTTTCCCAACACTGGCTTCCAGCGGGGGACCAGCCCAGTCCCCGRTGAGATCCTCCCGATCCGTGAGTCTTCCCCGCACCCACCGAACTTCACCGGTGTCCGGACGTCCACGGTGGCCTTGCTGTCCACGCCATCCGCCACGATCGCCACCTGCCCCAGCTCCTCGTCGTGCTCCACCCGCACCGGGTCCCGCTCCCGCCCGCGGCGCGCGGGGCTGCCGCCGCTCAGGGCCACCAGCACCCTGTCCGCGCCCGGGCAGCGCTGCGGGTCCAGCGGGCGGACGTTCACCTGGCACGGCAGCCGCACCCGCAGCCGCCCCCGCGGGCTCACCGACAGTGCCCACTCCCGTGGCGGGGAAGAACCGGGGCCGCTGCGACCGCGGCGGGGGACGGGCGGCGCCCACCGCCCGCCCGCCGCCCGCACAGCTAGGGCTGCCCAGCGCGGGGCCAGCGCCCTCATAGCCGCCGGCGGGACGCAAGCGCCCGGGAGCCGCGTCAGGAGCGCCCGGGACCGGACCGGACCGCACGAGGCCGCTCCTGGCGGGCGCCCGTGACCCCCGGCCGGTCACGTGGCGCAGCTGCACGCGGGGAGCGGCACCGGCCCGGCCGGTAAACAGGCGGTGGCTCCGCCGCGGAGGCTCCTGGGAGTCGTAGTTCTGCAGCACGCGGAAGGAACTACAGCCGTGTCTGCGGGCCTATCGGGGAGAGGGGAGGGCGGGGCATTGCCGAAAGTCTGCTGCTATTGGGTTGTGGGGAGGGACGTCCAAACCAATCAGCAGCGGGGATGGCTGAGGCGGGCGGGAGGCGGGGCGCGGGTCGCCATAGTGACGGGGACGCCGCTSAGCCGAGCCGGCTCTCTCTGTGGCGRCCGGGAGAGACKCGAGGCGGCTGCGGCCGGGATCGAGGTCGGGCCCGAGACCGAGAGAGGCAAAGTCGCGGTTCCGACGTAGAGGCGGGAAGTGGGTCCAGCGGCGCCGCCACTCCTGTTTGAGGAATCCCTGAGGGCCAGGCCCCCCCCCGCGGGGGGCCCAGGGCGGTGCCGTGTTGCGCGTGAGGAGACGAGGTACCCCGGGGCAGCCTGCCCTTCACTGCACTTAGGCCTACAGTGGGGCTGCGTGTGGCAGTGTCCTCGGTCAGCTGGAGTAGAAGCAGTTTGGCAGATGTTTTGGAAAACCAGTTGTTTGTTGTTGTATTTTTTAAGTGATAGTGCAAAGCACCAGAATAGGTCTCCGTCAGTAAATTTTAGTCAATATGTTACGTSTTGTACTGCTTTTTAGCAGTCCTAAAGACAAAGAAATATTTTCCTGAGCTCTGCACAAATACGCCATGAGACAGTTGTCGTTACAGGGTTTACTAACAAGTGGGGAACCACTAAATTCAGTTTAAAAGACTTTTCTGGACTTCATAGCCCACATTATCATCATACAGCAATTTAAAAGATGAGGTGGGGCATGTRGGCAAAAGATGATGTACGGTCARGGGCTGAATTCTTGTCATAGTTGTAGTTTWCTGCCAGTAATGASAGTGAAAAATACACAGAAAGCTTCATTGTCTTAGCAACATTGCAACACAAGAAATAATGAAATCTGGGCCTGTTGCTTAATTACTGTGTCCCTTTTGCATGCCATGTGTTTCTTTTTTATAAATAACCATGCAAGCATGATACTTAGTCATCAAACACTTTTMATCTCTGTAGCCTTGTTTCCATTTCTGTCACTGTCTGGCTTTGATTATTTATGAATCTGAAATGGCATCTCAGTGTCCAACAGGAAGGAAGGTTGCCCTAGTTTTTTGTTCTATTGGTAATTTTCACTGTGGAAAGTTTAATGAAAATTCATAGTCATCAATAATGCCCTTCAAGTTAAATTATTTCATTGGTTTGCACTAYTGAGTCTCAAAAAATCATTAGGCGAAACACAAAAAGGACCAGCCTGCTTTATGATAATCTAGTACAGAAAAACAGAATTCTAGAAAGTCAAAAACATATCAAGAAATATCTTGGGACATGACAGAGGCTGGAAGGTTTTTTTTTTCAAGTCTTCAGAAATAGTTGATTCTGGGGAAAAACCTGCAAAATTCTCACTCTTGAGACCCATACCAAATTTGGATGTAAGATTGTCAGGGTAACAGTTATGGATGTGTAAGCAGTGTGTTGCAATGTGCTATGATTCCACTAGATGACAGCCAGTTCAGCAAATAACTCTGCCATCCGACTGTTCCAAGGAATCCGATCTCTGGCGAGACGGGGCTTACTGCTGCCCCCCTTTCTCCCTGTGTCAGGGCTGCTGTTCCTTATCCTTGGCTTCTAYCTCCTCTAAAATGACAGTGCTGCTTTCCCACAACCCTGTTTTCCTTCAGGATCTTGGTATTTGGTGATCCTTGTGCAGGCAGAAGTTTATTGGTACCCACAATCCATAGTAAACTGTGCTCTGCATCACCTTTAATATTGTCAAGTTTTACATAGTTGAGATTAAGGCTTAAGCCTCAGTYATGTTTATATTTCATTCTTGCTGTTGGATTTTCTTGTTAGATACAGTCTAAGCATATTCGCATGGTTAAAAAATACTATTTTTTGTTTTACTTATGTCATCTATATTTTTGCTTTGTATTGATTCAGTTTAACTTTCATGTTTTTGTTTGGAWCAGCTGGTATAGCATGTAGCAGACTCCAACAGTGAAAGGAAAGTTTTTATTTGTTTATTTTCCGCTTTCATTTTCTGACTTGTTATTTACAGGAAAAGAGAGCTCTATCAAATTTATAAATGAGTATTTAATTAGAGCTCCACTTTCAATACCTGCATGATTTCTTAGTGAATGACAATGCTTATTTGCCATTTTACCAGACTGGTGTTGTTGTATGCCAAAGAATATTCAGTATTTCATGCAAAAGATAAAAAAATCCCTAGCACTTATAAAGTGAYATAAAATAGATTTTAAGCTAAAGCATTATCAGAGGTACTTTTAGGGTCAGGTGCAAGAGAGATTTCAAGAAAAGAGGAATTAAATAAAAAGAATTTACAGGAGAGGCTGTAGAAGGAAAAAAATTTTCTAACTTTTATATTTGGGATTTATCAGGGAATAATCATAGACTGCTGCAAGTGCCCACAGGGTACTTAATCTGCCTGGGCAGGATTAATKTTACTCATTTGCCATAATTGTGATAAAGAAATAATTTGACCTTACTTCTCATGAAAATAAGGCCACTCTTATTTGTAGTTTACTTTTTTTTAATGGTGTTTTTCTAAACTGCTTCCTTGAATCTTCTTAGTTCTCAAGGTATGTCTAGGGTTCAGTGGGTACACAAATTACRTTTTGTTTATTTTCTCCTCTGTACTTTAGCATTKCAAAGCACGCAATGGTTTGGATTTYAGGGATTTTTTGTTTGTCAYGCTACCASAAATTTTCTGAGGAAATTAAGTTCCTCATGGAAACCAYGTGAAATGGGAAGTGACAAATCTTACCATTCAAATTCTTCTTAACTTAGCCATATCTAATTAGAACTCCAGCAGATAAAGTCTGTGTGTGGCTCAGGGGRGTTCTATCCCAAATAGCCAAGACTTGAAAACAAGGGAAAACAGTGGAGCTTGTGACAGAAATTGTTGAGCAGTTTAGGTACATGGAATGCTATCATTTCCCCAAAGCAGTGGGGAAGGCTGTGCATTGTAATCATAAACAATCCATTCTGATTAACGTGTATGATAATGTCCTATTGTACATCAGGTAGTTTTAAATTTACTTATCATTTAATGTTGGCATGGTTTTGTGGTTTAAAGACACATCCCTTCTTGCTAAAGCATCGGCTCTGCCTAGTTAAAACAGAAGATCTGCTACTTTAACATTAGGGAAGAAGCATTAGAAAATAAAACTGTAGAAAGAGGATCACCRTGAGATTGAATAAATCTGTAGTGCTCCTGTTCTTAATATTATCTGTAGGTCTCATCCCTTCTCTTTGAAGAGCATATGGTAGAACTGAAGAAGCTTTGGAGAAGGATAATAATGACAGTGGAAGGCAGAGAGRGGCATTCATGCCAGTGACAGTAGGTGGATTTGCTGCTTCCACCYAGAAAAAGGATTGTCAAATGGAGATTTGACATTAGAAATAAACCTAGTGGCACAGAAAAGTTGTGATTATTCAATGACTCACCCAGTAAAAGAACTAGGTGACATCAAGAAGCCAGATGCAAAAGCAACAAGAAGCATTAGTTATTCATATCACACAGAGGTAAAATGAAAATCTCCATTCCACTGGATTTTACCAATACTGAAAATTTTGCAGGGAGAAAGGAGATTGGTTCAGGGAAACACCACCACCACACTATGACTAGTGGGTGCCTCTGTCCCTCCCAGGGCATCAATGCCAGTGTAGGCTGGAGGTGCATAGAGATAGCTGATACATCTTCATACATGGACCTGCATCTCTTTATGTTCAGAATAAAATTTTACTACTTTTTGCATCTGTCACTCTGAAAAGAGTCAATGCAGCTRAGTGTCACCTACCTGGATTCTGCACTGATATGTGTATGAACATTGCTCTTTGCTAGGACRTATAGAAGTAAAGCTGCTGAAATTAGTTTTGGGAATCTGAGTTCAAATTTTTATTATTGCTCTCCTGCGAGCGCCCCGCTCCGCAGCACCCCGCTGAAAACACCACTCCAAACACGCAGGCAGGTCCAGGTTTCTTCTTTATTAGTGTTCCAGCTCTTTTAGCTTTAGCAATTTCAGCTCTTTCTTCTGTAGTGATTCAGCTCCGTCTGAACTGATCGCGCTCACTGTGCGCTTTTTATAGGGTTGTCTTATCTGTACCCGGTTTTGAGAAATGCACCAATCCATATCGTTTTAGACAGATTACATAACCAGAAAAACTCTCACACATCGCGTTTCAGACTTTGATTGGACTGATGTTTTCATCTGTCCAATCCAAAAACTGGTCGCTTCAGCCCAGTTCCATCCCACACCATATCATCTCGCACATGCGTATATTCATCAGTCCTTCCCACACCGAGTCCAGAGCCCAGCCCCCATACACAGCTGCAAAGACCACGGCACTCTCCTGAAGCCATTTCACAAGACAATTCTCAGCCTGATTTGATGCAGGTCCCAAAACAGCCTTGTAATTGCCGTTCTCTGCAATTCCGTGTCTTGGATCAAGGCTGTGATACTATTTGCAGTTCTACAGTTTGAAAACATCCATACTTGTTGGGCTATTCTGTGAAGCTAGAARTCATGCCAAATTTCACTCCTATTTCAATTATACAGTTTATTTACCAGATACTGCAAAGACACAGATTTTCCACTTTGTTTTTTGAAGTTTATATATCCAATTTCATATAAGCTGAATTATATATTTGGTAATGTAGTAGGCAATGGAAGAATGCTGAACTTATTTTAATGTCCCATAAACATAATGTCCTATAACCCATAATGTGACATATGCATGCTTTGTTTCAGTCTGCTCCCTCTTAAAACCACGTGGAGACAAGGGCTTGTCGCACTAGCTGAGGCTGTCTAATGGTTTTTCTCTATCTAGATTTCTATGTGTCTTAACGTAATATTATAATATTCAGAAGATTTTTTTTTTTTTGTTCTCTCCCTGCCCATCAAACTGGAGTCCTGGTGAGGACCCTTTTATACTACTGTACTGGGAGGAGGCATCTTTTTGACTGATGTCAACTATATATTTCACTACAAGTATCAATAATTATTCCTACACCCTTGAAACTCTCCCATTTTGACATTGTTCTACTTAGCGTTTCTGCCGCAGTGCTTTTCCCTGTCTAAATTCTTCCAATAAGTTTAGAGGAAGAAATAAAGCAATGGTAGCCATGAACACAAAATGCATATGCTAAAATATTCAGCAGTTCTTTGCAGATGAAAAATCACTCACTATAAATGTGTGTACATGTTTATGTACAGTAATTCAAGGTTTATTTCTTGGCCTTTCTGATGTTTACAGTTATTTCACAATGTTTTGACTCTTCCAGGAGGGATAATGAAATTGCTTTTTTTCCCATAAGCAAATAACAGACACTGAAATCTCTCTAAAAGTCAAAATGTTCTTAAAGGAATTCCAAACAGCACTGAAAAAAGCAATAAACTTGCCAGTTTAACTTTCACTACCTGTATAGACAATTGACTTTTCAAAAGGTGAATACAAATAACACAATAGTTTTGTATCCATTTTCCCACCACAATTATAAAAAGAAATTATATGTTTCTTAACTGTCATCTTTCTGGCTGTGGAATGCCAGATTGTTCTGGCAGCTTTGTTGGAGAGATCTGGTATTTATTATTGAAATATTCTCAAACTTCTTGATTTTATTACAGTTTTACTTTTTGTTGTCCTGGATTTATCATAAGATGCTCTCTTTTAAGTAAGAATAGGGTCTCACATATGTAATGTGAAAGACTGAATGATGTCGAGACTGACTWATTTGAAGAGGATTCTCATCTTTGGCAGCTGATATGAGTTTTATAATTATGTGGTTCCATAGCACAATGTCCTCTGCATAAGAACTAGTCTAGAAAGGACTGTTGGTGTCAGGTGAACATCTGCAAAATTTGACAATCTTCCTCCTAAAATTTTGCACTAAAATGCTGTGATACTCCTCTRTCCATTCCTGTCATCTACAGATAACTTCAGTGAACTTATGAAGGAATTCTTYAATTTCTCTATCTCTGCTTTGCAGTGTGCTTTGCTCTATAAATGCTCTATGCCTCCACCTACTCACTATGTCATGGCAAGACTTCTGTGTGCCTCACAAGTCCCTCTTCCCCTCTCTTCCCTCTGTGAGATGTTTATTGACTCTCTTTGGTCATCCCATATGTCTTATCTCTTCCTCCTGAAATATTTTTATCATCTTTCAAGCTGCTTCCTGAAGAAGATTGGTATTTTTAAATTATTTGAATGTACAAAAYTCATACAATACTATTATGCCAGAAGATGGATTTGTCAGATAGTAATTCACATTTCATATAATGACGAGGATCAACCTGAAGGACATTGCTGTCTTATCAGGGTACCAGGAGCATTGTCATTTCACCTCCCATTTCCCTATTCCATATCAGCGTTTTCACACACCTCAGAGAGTTCGATGATTGATTCTTGGGAATGAAATTCTCAAGTGCTGGATCAAGATAGTAAACACAAAGTGAAGTTACATGAAATTATAGAAACTTTATTTCATTAAGTTAAGTTAATGACATAAAGTTAACTTCTCATCTTGATGAGAAGTAATTACTAAATGTCCTTGATCCAACTATTTCTAATGCAAGTATCTTAGAGATTTCTATGCTAAATGACAGCCATTAATATGGGATTTTTTTCAAATRTAAGTGTAGCAAAATTATCTTTTCCAATACCCCTACTTGTTCAAACTTCCTKTGATTTCTGTCTCTGTGAATTTATWAAAAAAACTGTTATCTAACTGGAAAAAGAGCTTTCTTCAGGATATTTTATTTCAGGATATTTTAAAAATACTCAAAAGGATGATAGAGTGATAGAGGCTCTTGCATGAAGTCTTTCATGAAGTTGCCACTGTAGACTTACGTAGTTTAATCATATTTGACTTCTATGGTTTGAACATGGGKCTGACTTGTTGAGGTAGTGGTTTTTACACTACAGATGAAAATTTATTTCATATATTTACATTTATCTTTCACAATYATATATATCCCTGGATCTAATGAACTGTATTGATATTTTTGTTGCTTTCTAGAGCTTTAAACAATGAGTGAGGCTGGTGAAGAAAGTCCCAGTGACGCACCACTGGCAACTGAGAATGAGTCCCCTACCCGTGTGCTGACTCCAACAGTTGATGACCAGGATGAGGAACCCTCTGACCTAGCAGCAAGTCCTGCATTTCAGTGTTTAGATGAGGTACCATGTGCCCCAGCTTTCTCTGTCAGTAGCAGTGCAAAGTAATTAAGCTGAAGTGTATCTTTTGCTGTTAATAATTGAAGGTTGTTACTATAGACTATGTATTCCCCACTTCTTTGATTTTTTTCTAGGTGGTAAGAAAATTTTGTGAAGCGTTATCATCTTGTTGCTGGGGATGCTGTGCCTAATTGATAACCATGTTATTTTTTTCAGTGATCATGGCATTAAGGGGCTATGATCATAAGAATAGAGAGGTCTTGATTTTGGTCTTGTAGTATTCTGTCTGTAGAGGTAATTGCATCATGATTTTTTGAAAGACTCCATTGCTTTTTGAAAGGCTTCATAGCTGGAAAAATCACAGGTAAGTGGCTCCTGAGGAACTATTGATGATGGTGATAGAAGAAACTTTTGAGAACTCAGTTTCTTTTGCACACTTTTCTGTGCTAAGAAATCTTTCAGAATACTAGAAATGTTCTAAAATTTTATGTATGAAATATGCATCAAATGGAATCCTTAAAAATGTAAGGGCAGGAGAGTCAYTCAAAGATAATCTAATCCAAAGTTTGCACTGAAGTAGATTCTCTGCAGATATTTGTCTAATTTGTTTTTTAAGTCTTTAATTGATGTAGATAGCCCTTTGGGTATCCTTTTCCAGCATGCCATCATTGCCAGAGATTTATAAACATTTTCCCTAAATCCCAGTTTAAGTTTCCTTTGTGGTAAATAATGCAGCTTTCTTCTTGCCTTTCCCACAGTAAAAATGGGGACCAATCTCTGCCCTCTTTATAATAAAAATGTACATCTCCTTTGTATCCTTAGCAGGCTTTGTTCATACTTCATGTTTTTCTCAAAATTCTTACTTACAGTTGCTTTACCTTGGGCTCRTTCCACCTTGGATCTGTCAGATTAGTTTGCTACCCCAGCTCTCACTCTSTGCCACCAACCTAAGGTCAGTGGAAAGGGCAGGGCAAGAATTTGTAGTGAAGGGGAAAATAGGCCCTTTCGAATCCTGCAGTTAGATCATACTGAACATAGCATGAARCTGCTGCTTTCAGTCCTGTGCCAGTATATGAGGAGCCCACAGCCTCCAGTATTGTTGCAGCACAAAACTCCTTTCTTCTCAGTCCAAGGCAAAAGTGCTCCCACACCCCTTCTAAACTGTTCTCTGGATTTCTGGATGTTTTCCTTATTCTTAATAATGGTGGAAACTTATTTTTTCTAGATTTACTCTAGAAAAATTTTAGATTATTCTCAAATAACTCTTTCGAAAGAGGTTATTCTTCATATCAAATTTAAGGCTAACTTTTTTAATACATTGTTGATAACATTGTTAATTTAATAATTGTTGATATCATTGAAAGTCATTAATAGAAAATACAGGGTAACCTTTATAGCATTTATATATAGCATTTATAGTTGTTTCCAACTCAGGAAAAAAACATGCTGTGGAAAACCRAAGTAAGCAATTTGCATAATATTTCATAAATTAGGTCTTTTGGTAATTTTGTCAGTTTCTAGAAGGGAACTATGACTCATTTATTTTACCATYATTTTTAACAGTTTGTACTTGTACTTTATGGGTGAGTTTGGCTTTTCATCACTTATTCACATTTCTTCTCTTCTGCTGACGTACTTGTTTTCCTTTGTTGAACTTTATATATAATTCAGAGATAAATATATGACTTTGGTCACCATAGAGGTTGTTGCATTGAAGCTGGATTTAACTTCTCAGAATAACTTTCAGAATTTTTCCACAGAAGCAGAATTGTATCATAGTCCCAGCGCAGCATGTASTTATCAGAAGGGACACCTTTTGTTATAAGATTTCTTTAAAAACAGATATATGCCCTGTCCCWGTCAAACCAGTCTTGTTTTTCTCATGTAAGCAGCAGATACTCAGACATACAAAGAGCAAGAAGTCAAACATGCACACTCTCAATCCTTCATTTTAATGAAACATAGTAACATTGTTTAGCTTTGTAGGTAAAAATATTAAAAACTTTATTAAGTTTTAACAAAAGCCACCCACTTCATCATGACTTGCTTCATTTCACCAAGTATTTTCATTTATTACAAAGTTGGCATTAGCCTATTCTGTTGGTTAGGGTACTGCCATGCATTCACAAAAGAAGCTTTCCACTTCTTTGAGCCTTTCTTGCTGTGTCCTTAAAATAAAAATCTTTGCTCTAGCACTTCTAATTGAATTTCTTGARTTGTGAATCTTTCCTCATATCTTGTTTTCTTCCAGTGTTAGAAATAAATTAGTCTGCGTCATGTTAATTACTGTAATGGAAAACTACATTGTCTAGTACCTGTGTGATGAAAGAAATATATTACTTGAATAAATGCTACATTAAGAGGCAATAAATCACACTGTTTTTATTTTAATTTTAGTGCATTATAGACCATGTATAYGTAATCTGATTCTTAAAAGGCAGCAAAAAATGTATTGAATTTTGTCATGTACATTGTCTAAATTTCAAGYGACATTAATTTTATTAAATGGATATTTTACTAATAGTTAGCTTCAACAATCTTAATTTATATTCATCCTTTTCCTGCAAATTCCTGCAAATTTCCTGCAGATTTTCCTGCAAAAAAATTTTTTTTTTTTGCAACAGTTGGTAATATAATACATTTAACTTGCCCTTTCTCCTTGTATCATCCTTGCTACAACTCTACTGTTACTGCTAAAGCTGCAGAGGACAAACCAAAATYGTCATTTGAATAGAAAAAGTTAATGAACATGACATGAAACTAGATTAAATGCTCCAAATGACAAGATTAAGCAGAATGGAAATTAAAAAAAAAACCAATTAACAGATTGCCTCTTGCCCCTTCTATTTTGTCTCCATGATTTTTGTGCTTGACTATGCATAATAACATTTTTTTCCTTTCAGGCCACTTAAGTATTATTTTACTTTTCTGCATCTGATCCAGTTTTAATGAGCATATAAATAAATAAAACATCTTTTGTCATAATAGTGTTGTTGATGTTTAGTTTGTAATCTATTACAGTTTTCAAATCCTCTTCTGTTGCTTTACAGACCCTCTTTCTGTTGACCCCTACTTTATGCATCTTCCCAATCTGATAGTGAATCAAACAAAAAAACCCCAAASAGAAATCAAATGGTGGGTATCTTCTCCTACTTTGAGGTCTTTTTACTCAAGGCAATGTCTTGTGCTTTTTCTTTCTCTTAATTCTGTTGGTATGTTCTTAGGCTAGAAAGAGAGTTCAGTCAAGTGTTTATATCCATTTTTAAAACTATACCAGGAAAATGATTCTGCAACGTTTGTCTTTCATGTCTTTGCAGTGGATGCTGTGAGGCAGCTATTCTACAGAATAGTGTACGTGTGAATGAAAAGTGCTTTACTGTTTACCAGATCCAGTGACCTTGTTTAGAAGGTACAACAATAATCCCTTTCTACCAACAAACATCATCCATTTATTTGCTAAATCTAAACATGCAGAAGAATAAACTGCTTTGGGAGATTTTCCTGACTGGTCTATTGCAAACTCTTGCATTGTGTATGCTGTAAAATGGTCAATGCCTCCTATCTGATACCAGCACCACATCTTTCATGTGTGTTGCTTTATTTGATGGAAATAGTCACTATCATGCTACTTTTCTTCATCACTGATGTCCGAGTGTCCTATTGCCATCAAGAAGCAGAAAAAACCTTTCATGAATATTTTTCATTACCGTTTTGAAACTCGGAGATTAGTGAATTTATACTCCTGACTGCCAAAAGTGGTTGAACTGCTAATAAAGATGTTAACCAAAAGCTCGATTCCAGTGAAAACACAGAGCAAAAACTCCATGTTTACCAAAAAATCAGCAGTATAACAAAGATTTCTCAAGCAAATTTTGTTTCTGCTTATCTGATGCAGATTCATGTCTATCTGCTACCTAGAAGAGCTTTAAAGTTATAGAATGATGCATATGTTCAGTGTTTGAATGTGGTTTAAGGGAAGGAAGGTTCTTCAAATTTTTCTCTTTTTTTTCATCTGTGCTGTAGAAAAGAAGAGAATGTCATGTAAAGGTTGGCTACAGCTTTTCAATAGGAATACTAAGAATCAATATTTCATATAATTCTTCAGTGATATAATGATATCTAACAATGCCATTCTAGAAATTATAGTTGTTTCCAATTTCTTTTGCTAACAAACTGGTTTTTAATTCTCTTCTTAGGTTAGATGGTGGGTGTGAACAACTTTCCTTTAAAAAAAATTATTGATATTTAAATGAAGTTTCCTAGAACAGCTACCTTGGTAGATTAGGATAGATTTTTTTTCCATAAGCACCAATGTAATTTCTGTCCCCTACACATACTGCGTATGTACTTTCTGCTGTTAGAAAGTGTAAACATCTCTATTTTTTTCCATCGTAACTATAGCAGTGCATAATTTGTTTTAGTACTCACCAGATTTGTATGTGTTCTATTAAAGAGGTACAATACTTGACACAGCTTTGAATGTTGAATGTAAACAACATTTTTAAACTTAAGCTGATCCTGGCACACTCCATATTACAAGCTTCAAAGGGTTCTGGCTTAGCAARAAGGGATATAAATATGTTGGCACAGACAGCTAAGACAGATGTGGTCTCCACCTCCACACACAGGAATCTAATTAAATGAACAGTTTTTGACTTTGCTGATATGATCACTTAGGAAGTCAGCTAGGGATGATAACGTGTCTGTAAGGTAGAGTATGGGGTTTTGGAACAGCTTCCAGCAARTAGAAAATAAGGCCAGGAAGTAGCCAGGTGTGGTCAAAGTATCACAAAGCAGGTAGTATTTCTGTTAATTTCTGAAAAACCTGTTTGAGAGTATTTCTGATGTCTTSTTTTTCTATGCTTTTGTAAGGTCAAATGTGTAGACATCACACCATACAGAGGAGCTAGAGCTCCWTAAAGCTGTGAGACTAACAGAAGGAACAACCTTTAACTGTAACCTCTTCTTCAATTTTGGCCTTTTCTCATTTATTTCTAATACTCATGAGTCTTGACAAGGCAAGTATATCGCTATATTGTTTTCCAAAGCTATCTCCCTCTTCCTGTTTTCTCACCTAAAATATGTATTTGAGTTAGGGCAAATTTGTACTAAAATTGAGGCTASCTGGCCTTGTATGTCAGCACAACCATGTGATGAGGAAGCCAGAGCATTGTTAACCGCTCATTCCTTCAATAAAAACATCAGTGTTGAGGAATCATCTGTTACACACATGAGATTGCTTTAAAAGTTAAAAAAGGCAGAAGAATTATAACTCCATAGAAGTTTAATTTAAACAGTGAACAAAAGAGATCAATTTAGTAAGTGAAATGTTTGATTTAGCAGGGCCTGTAGATGGTATTGCTCAGCCATTTTTCTTTAAAACTTATGTCAATATCTTCAGGCCTATTTGTATCATTTTCTCATTTCTGAAAGAAAAAGAATGCCGAAAAACATCTTAAAATATATTAAATATATTAAAATCCTCTTTCTTTGTAGGCCAGTATTATTATCTCTTCGTTGTTTCTCTATGAAAATTCAAAGTCGCATCCTCCCTGCTTTGGTTTTTCCATGACATGTAAATCATAGAAGCTAAGTAAGTTTGGCACTTTTGTTTGMTTTTGGTTTAATTTGTCAGCAGGCCTCTGGATAGGGATTTTCAACCATTTTAAGTTATTTTCCAAATAAACACATGAAAATAGTTTTTTTCCCACCAATTTATCAAGCTACTTCTYGTTCTCAACTCACTCCAAGTCTGTCTCCAGTGTTTCTCAATAAACACCATTAAGGAAACAGGTATTTGCATTAAAAAGGGAAGAAAAAAATCACCAATGCTTTCAAACCTTCTTTTAATTTCCTCTTTTTCTTCTTTTTCTTATTTTCTTTTTTTTTTCCCTGGTTTTAGTTTGGTTTTGTTTAAGCAATGCATAGAAAGCCAAGGCATTACAGTCTGCTTGGCTGATCACATTGAGCAGATGGGCTTGTGTCTTTATTTTTTTGGAAACAAGCCATAGGAATTTTGCTAGCAAACCCACTGTTAGTWATCTTTTCCACTAAAATTCACAATTTAAATATTAGCAGGATTAAAACCACAAGTGTTTTCATATGATAATTAGTGTTGCATAGATGTTTTTTATAGCTTGAAAGACATGTTTTAAATTACTAAGCCTTAGACAGAGATCAAGGACTTTTTCTTTGTATAGAAAATTGTATGATTTMATTTGGGATGGTATTTGTATTCACATGCTCTGATGACTCTTGTATGTGATCTGAAAGGTCAAAACATTGGCTTGCTTCTCCTCTTTCATGTTAAAGATAGAGGTTTGTAAACTCTTGTTTGGGCAATTACTTTTTCCTCTTCCAAAGTATGAATAGTTCCAAAAAAATGTCTGAGATTTCAGCCCTTGGTATTATCTGGCAACTGAAGGGTCATAAAACAGAACTCTAAGGAACTATTACTGGCAATTACTCTCCTGGCATGTCACACAGTCATMTGTGTTGGTCATCTGTGTTTTCTTATTGCTTCAATTTTTACAGAAAATCAATAAAATGATGATAATTTTTTACGGTTCTCATGTGCACCTATGACAGTAGTACAACTAACAGTGTGACATAATTTTATTACACCAAGAGAAAACAAAAACAACGTTTACAAAAGTAGATGGAGTTACACTTTGCAAAACTAGCACACATGGACAGAAATTCAGCTACAACAGTTCCAGGCAGGTAACAATCAGATTTCTGTAACAGCATTGCACTTTTCTTTTTTTTTTTCTTTCTTTTTTTCTTTCTTTTTTTTTTCCTCCTTTCTTTGTTTTTAAAGACATGAGACAAAACTTTTGCAGATGATTTTCRTCACATTTGCTTATTCTGTTAAAATTTCTGTGTTTTACAAAGTTTCCTTTAAACRAGATTTAAAAGTACAGTTTCTCTTCCAACATCTTAGCAGTAAAAAAAACATTTTCAAGTAGAAGCTTGTAGATACTGTACAACATACTTAGCTATCATAGTTATCATGATGTTATCATATAATGAATAGGAGCAAATTGTGCATTTATTTATTAAATATAATCATATGCAATTACATATTTGCTCTTCTAATCATTACTTCATAAGTTGCTTTTTTTTTATTCTGTTTAGACAACTAGATTTTATCCCAAAATAAATATTCTATAGCTTCAAAACATATTCTCAAGCAAAGATGATACATCTTGCAATTCAAATTTTTCATTGCTCTTTAAAATTGAAAAATAATAACYCAAATTACACTTGAATTATCCTTCAAAGTATTTACTTCTTTAAAATATATATTAATATTTTACAATTTAGCAATTGCCAGTGTTCTTCATTTGCATAACTTGTAACAATAAGGGTTATGTTATAATCTTAAAACAACAGTAGATGTCATATTATAAAGTATTAGGTCAGATGTATACCTCTATTTTTTTTTTCTATCTCTTTTAATCAAAAAGGCTATGTCAGCAATGACCTCACTTAATTGGTAAAGAAATACAGTCTTAGTGTAGTTTTTCTGCATCTCAGGATTGGTATAAGAAAGAGAGTAAAATAGCCTCTTGCTAAGGTAAATTACATCTCCACACAATGTTGRTCACTGTCTTTGTAGCGACATGGTCTAGATTGGTGCAGTCAAACTTCTGCTCACTATCCACACCGTGAGGTTTAATAACAGTGTCTCTTATCTGAACTTCCTGAATATTTGACAATTTGATTTTTTCATTTGTTATATTTTAGAAAAAAAAACCTTTCATCCTGTATTCTCTTTTTTGCTTAGAATTGACAGTAGATTTTTATGTTCTTGTGGATATAAATGGTGTAGCCCAAAAATGGGGAGAAGAGTCTTCTCTTATATTACATTTTTTTAAAAAATTTTAATTTTAGGGTCTAATGATATCTAGATTGAGAAGTATTTGAATGAGAGCTTGAGTCTCTACAAGAGCATCTGACTTAGGTAACATTTGACTTACCTAAATGATTCAGGAGAAAGCAAGATGGCACTGCAAACTCTTTGTATGTATTTAGAGGCATTAATGCAAAGAATATGGATTCTTTTGATGTGTCTTCCTCCTACCTGTCTATCTGCCTGCATAAATGTGCAATAAGCTACATAATAGCTCCTTTCTCCTACAAATGACAAATAGGACCTTGAGCTTGAATGGAGGAACAAAAAGAGCGAGAATGTTGTCATTTGTTACATGCTCTCTCCATSAGTAGATGACACTTAGGGACATGGCATAATATGGACTTGGCAGTTCTGTGTTAACAGTTGGGCCCAATGATCTTAAWGGTCTTTTCCAAACTAAATGATTCTATGATTTTRTAATTATTTCCTCTGCTTTTATTCAATTATTCCACCAACTTCTTTGAAAAATMTTTGATAAAGGGATGAAATTTGAGGAATCATCTTCATTTTCTGTTTTCTTCAAGGCCTTTTTTTGTGTGGTTGGGCAAGCCATGTGGCACTCTGTTTTCTAGTTCTTTAAAAATAATACTTGTAGTATTTTTCCTAATTTATAGTGATATTGCCATGGTATACCTTTGAAGCTGTGAAGGATAGATTATAGGAAAAGGCTGTTTTAGAGAGACTAGTTTTCTTTCTAAGTATTGACAAATTTATATTAGTTGCACCTCAATTATTTTCAGGTTAAAAATGTCACTATTCATTAAGACAYGATTTGTGGAAGACAACATAAAAGTTTTAAATCATAAAAGTGGTATATCACAGTCAGTAAAAGCACCAAAAGCAATGTTTAAAATATTTACATAGCAAAACCAAGACTTATGATGTTTTAGCCATAACTATTCAGATATTTTGATGATGGTTTTAGTACATTATATGGATCAAACTGTAAAAAAAATATGCSGAAGTATGTTGTTTTGTCTAGAACAATCTTTTGCCAAACATAACTGAACACTTGGTTTCTGAGTATAATACTGAGTAACTACGATTTTGAATACAATCCAATGCAAGCTAGTTAAGAGAAATGTGWAGAATTACTGCACAAAACTTTTGGGTCTGACCATTATTTTTACTGATTTAAAGGATTGCCTATATCCACCGGGAATATCATCAGAAATCCCATGCCAYGTGCCCCAGAAAATGCCATTGCGAACACCTTTGTATTTCTTGTGGTAGTACTTGCCATTGAGATTGGCTGACAAGCAGGCATCAAACCACCAGCCAGAGCTGTAGTAGGCACCACAGTTTCCYGAGGGATACCTGTCATTGTCCTTGTCTGGGGTTGTAAAGAACTTTTGATCATGGTTGTAGTGCCTGCTGTAGTGAAGGGCATCGCCTGCTGTGCCGCTGTAGCCGTGGACRCTTAGACGGTACTTGAGGTACTCGTTGGCCACGTAGAAGTGGTCRTATTTTGCATACTCTCTGATTCCATTGAAATCTTCAAGATCAATTCTCAGTTGCATTTCCTGGCTCCTTGTCAGGAGGTGAATTTTGTCATTGCCTAGCCAAAACTCCCTGCTGAGGTTTCCAAAGCCATTTTTGTAGTCATTCCAGGTTCTGTTGAAGTTAGTGCTGCCATCCTGACGCCGTTGCAGCACGGTCCAGCCGCCTCCTTGTGTTTGCATGTCACAGTAAACTTCAAAGCTCTCATTTCTGGGGTCAGGGGTAATACTGTAGATTCCATTACTCCTTCTCCCTGCTGTGTAATGGTCAGCACAGTCTCTCTGCATTATTTGTATAACTGGTGAAAGAACAGATAATGTTAGAATAAATGTAATTTCAATTTAAAAATAAATAATTTTTTTACTCAGATTGTTGTGGCATACAGAACTTGCATTGGAGAGACTTTTACATCAGAAATAGTGTTGCAGAAATTTCRGTTCTAGGGGAGAAAGACTTTTTCTATCAGATTTACTTTTTAAGAGATGCCACCTAGAACCTCTGAATCAGATAGCTTTCAAAAAAACCCTATCTAAACTATATTTATTATCAAATTGCCTAATATAAGGGCATTTTGATTGTTTGCTTTCCYTTTTCTCCTTTTCTCTAATCTATCMTTTCATTATCTCATGTAAATTGAGCCTGATTTCTTCAGTCCATATTACCCACTTGCTTCTTTTTGTATTTAAATGTTTAGCTTCACTCCCTGTCTACAATTTACAGCTCCATCTGGCAGTATGTCAGAGAAAGAACTTTGTCCATTGTGGGAATGATGTTAACTTGGCTATTGTTAACATAATTTGATAAGGAACGTCATTAGGAATGCTTTGTGTGTTACTGTTGACTGTACTTTAGAAAGCAGGAAAAAGTAATAAAATTGTCACATCTGTTGTAGTAATCATGTGATTCCTAGCAGGGTGAAGGTAGAAAAGGTCTTTCCTGTGTATGTGGCATYGCTGGCTTTACAGAAAAGAAGAATGTTAGCATCTACTATTAACAGTAGCTTTTTCCCAGCTATGGGTGATGTATTTTATTCAGAAGAAAAWTAACCCCAGGTTTTCTTCTGAGTGAAAATCCATTTTTGATCCATGTCATCAGTAATGCCATTCTGTTCAACAGCATGATATTAGAATTCCATATTCTTAAGTGATTTGGAAAGCTCTCAGAAGTTCTGAGTTTAGAAGCAAAACCATAATATTCATTCCTATTCCAGATTTGAATTTATGGGTGTGTTCACTTGCAGGTTCCAATTGTAATTTTTCGTTGAAAATTAAACAAACTACTTTTGAAAGGGAGGAGTGATCTCAGGCTGCAGCAGGGAATAAGATTCAGGACTTCTTATTTGCCRGAAAAGTGGACATTTATGAAACCACAAAGTACAGGGGTCAAAGGCTTTAAAGCCAAATCTAAATCCACAGTACATTCTCATTTATTTTACTGAACTTTGTGTAAGATCTTTGGTGGACTAAATTTCAGAACAGATGCTAACAGACAATATCCATTTCAGATGAAGTGCTTCTCTAATCCAATTTAACTCCTATTTAAAAGGAGTTTTACTATTGTTTTCAGTGGATGCAGAAATAGCACCTGAACAGGAAAAAGTTGTAGCTGCTTTCCTTGCYAACTTTTATAATGAATATACTGCTACTACAAATGCTTATAGCATGTTGCTGTAAAATATAAGGAATATTCTCATGATCATGTGCTATGAACACTACCCAATGTTYCAGTAAGTGTAAGAAATATCTAAAATTAAATTAGTCTGTCATGAAGTATTGTACTTGAATGTGATTCATTCCCCATTATTAATATAACAAAAAAATTACTCATTCCTTTTGTGAATGTTTTGTATCTGAATGAACCTAATTGTTTTGTATCTGATTTAAGCTGATTGCTGATATAGTAAAAGCATTACCTTTATTATTACTTATTTGCTCTTTTCACACTTTCAAGAATTTCAGCTGTACGTAGACTGTACACTTGCAGATCCTTCTATTTTCATACGTATAGACATAAGAACAGTTTTATTTTAATCTTGGGTGCTAAGMAAGAGGCTTAAAGATTGTAATGCAGACTTATCATTCTCTGTTTTGTCTCTGGAAAGCTTTATCTTCTTATGTTTGATATCTAATTGGTAGAATACACTGACAATCTAGGGAACATTTCTTGTTTTCAAGGATTCTTGTATGTAATATAAAAATTTTATGACTTTTAGAAAACTCCTCAATCTTGCATTAATGACAGTAAACATTAGAGAGTATTGGTTCTGTTCCTTTATTTTAATTAGGAGAATTAAATAGTAAAAAGAAGAAAGTGTTGTCAGTGACAACACCTGGTTTTGGTTTTGTACTGTTTATATATTAAATTAATGCAAAGGATTTAGTGTTAAAATGCTGATACATATGTTACCCAGTTGAAAAGGGCTGTTAGTAAGTTTTTTTGGCTGAGCCTTTCTATGTTTGCTGTGATGACAGAAAAATTATTTTATTATCCATCTGTTAAAAACTAAGCATTTTGCTAGATTCACTTGATGACTGATGATGTCTTGTACCCCTTTTCAGATTATTAGTAGTGGTAAGAAAAAAAAAGGCAATTTTCAAAGGCACGCCTAGAGAAAATTTACCCTTTCTCATCCAACGAGAAAATATGTGCAGGTTACTGATGTTTAATTTCTTTAATGAAGGGTATTATGGTGTACAATAAAATTAATTTTTGACATTTACTTATTAAATTACAAAAAATTGTCCTTTAAAAATTAATGTTTTAAATCCCTTAATGAAGTCCAATTCTAGGAGGGACTGAACACCTGCAGCTCYCAGTAACCCTCTAGTGGCTGCTGAAATGCTTTACAGGATTATAAATAAACACTATAAGAGCAGATACTTGTGAAGTCAATAACAAAGCTATTTGGGTAAACTATGTTCTAAATTGTTTACCTAATACTAAAAAAAAATGCACAGAAAGCTTATACCGGCAGTAAGAATCAATAGATTACATACCAGGTCTTGCTTGCATTGCTGGACACTTAGAAGAACATTTGTTATCCAGGTTGTTCACAGCAAATGTCAAATTTGCAACTTTGCTGTCAACATAATGTTCCACATTGTTCATATTTATGAGGCTCAGTTTCTCTAAACGACCCTGCAGTGTCTGAATCTGGCTCTTTGCATTTTTTAAGCTGGTTGCCATTCTGTTTACTTTGTTTTGCAGTTCATTTACTCTGTTATCTTGGCTTTCACTGTTTTCTGCAGTGTTAGGTAGCAGGAATTCATTACTTCTGTCTCTGTCTTGGTTGTCATCTGCTTGCAGCTTGCAATCTTGGCAGCATTTCTTCAGCTTGTTTACTGATTCTTTAAGGGTCTGTACTTCTTTGAGAGTCTTCTCAAGCAGTTTAAATTCTTTGGGTATCTGGATGGTCATCGGAGGCAGATTTATCTGATAAGGGCAGTCCTCTCCTTCTTCACATTTCCGATTAGTTTTGAGCTTTATAGGACAAGTCTCAGTAACTTTTGCCTCTTTGGCATTTTCTTCCTCTTCTAAAATAACTGCAAAAACATTTGTTAAAGCAAGGAGAGTTGACTTCAGCAAGACTATGTAAATGAGGAGCTTCATCTTCACTGAGAAACTAGCTGTATGAGGAAGTATGCAAAAGTGGAACAACTTTATAAGGGCAGCTTGAAGCCTGTGAGTTATCAGACAGCCTACACTGTTCTCAGAAATGGGTGGGAGTGCTTGCATCACGAGTGATTAATAGCAGAGCAAAGTTAGGTAGTGCTTGCAAGAGTAGCAYATTTCAGTGAGTATTCCTGACTCAGAGCAAGTGTATGTAAGCAGGATGGTGAAATGCATGTGTGCTGGTAAGCTCTGCAGTTTAATTTCATTCCTTGTTGTACACGGATTTTTTCTTTTTTTTTTTGGAAAAAAATCACCTTGCTCTTTATTATAAAAGTCTTCTAACATTTATTTCTTAACACTTGAGTGGTCTAAAACTTATTTTCTAAACCAAACTATAATTTTGCACAGCAGGTGGAGAAAGTGAAAACCTGTTTTTTTCTCTTTTTAAAGTTTATCACAGCAATAGCTTTACCAACAGTCAATCCYCTTTTTCATAAAACTCGTGTTTTAWCTTAATAGATAWATTTATRTAAATTATTTAAAATCCAAAACATGTTGATACACACATATAATTTTGGTCTCAAACATTTTTCAGTATAAAGTCACAAACTCAGGAGAATGAACAGCACTTTCTTCTTACTATTTCACCTAGCTCACCTTAAAATAGTTATCTGGAATATTCATAATTTGTATGGTACATCACAGCTAAAATTCACTGTTATCTGATTTGAGGTACTTCTTATTGAGCCTTTTAAAGTGAAGTGAACTTAAGACACTTCCCCCTTTGGTGCATGGGATCTTGCCTGTTAGTCTGTACAGTARACCCAAAGCAARTCCTGATGTTCTGAATAATGCCCCAGATTCTAARTCTRAAGCAAGGCAGAGACTTAGGGAAGGAACTCTCATTAGTTAGAGGTATTGCTCTTTTTATTGTGGCTTATGTCAACTTTCAAAGTTAATCATGCACTTTACATGACTGATCTCAATAAATGAAACACTTCTTCAGGTGACAAATGCCTGTACTCCCTCATTTTCATTGTACAGCTGCCTTTGCCATTGTCACATGGTGCCTATGCAGTTTTAATGATCTATGTCATTTTCCTCGTGCCTCAAAACAAGGCTACAAGGATATGTCTTTATGCAGCCATAGATCAGTCAAGAGTCAAATAACTTGCATGAATAAAAGGTATTTATACCAGTTCTTGTTTAATTAGTCCAATCTGAACMATTTATTTCCCTAAACTCTATTTGAAATTACTCATAACACAGATTAAACATTAAGCAGACGTTAGTCACACATATTATCCACAAGTTCATGATCTCTGTAACGTTACTCGCTTTTATACACACCATATGCTTCTATAAATAGTACAGGAGGGAAGCTTGGTAAAAAAACCTACTGCAACAATTTCTTCTGATTCCTGCATAGCACAAAAGTTTGGGCATTTTCTTGGGAGATGGGCTTTGAATGTRCCTTTCCCATATTCTAAATGTACATCCCAGAATTTGCCATGGTGCTTTCAGATATGTGGCAAAATTCTATTTCTCTGTTTCAGATTATGGTAGTTCCCTAGCAATGAGGTGAAAGGCACCCCCTCACTCTGATGTAAGATACTGACACCACTTTGGATTTGTTAAAAATGCATCAAAACTGAAATTTGTGTAAAAGGTAAAAYGTATTATTTTAATTTGCAAGTAAAATTTTTTAATTTGATTCTGAATTTGATTAACAGGATGCTAATTTTTCATTATATCAGTCTAAAAYCAGGTATTTACATAACCTTGTTTTCATGTATGGCTGCTACTGTCACCAGCCTCTTTTGGGTGGCTTTAGAAATAGAGTAGAATCCTTAAGTCCTTGTTGTTTGGAGGCATATTCCCCCCACACTGTTGTTTGTTCAGTTTGCAATTAACYCTGCTATCTGCTTTGTGACTTTGAACTGGACAAACTGTTCTGTATCTGTAAAATGAATAATAATTATCCTTGATTCACCACATTCTATGATTTGCCTTGAAATATTTAAATGTATAACAAATATTGTTTTAATTTATGATTGCGTTGCTTCATTGAAAGCCTAAACTATCTCTAGAATTTTGTAACGTCTAAAATAGCACAAATTTTTGCTTAATGCTGAACGTAAAAAAAAATTCAGAGAGTAAGGTGAGGTATTTTCAAATATCTCTGTCCTGAGAGATCCATTCCTTGGTCCCTTATATATCTTCCTTTTGGGATATTTGCTGCCTCCTTTGGATGAGACTTTTGATCTTGAGTTGCTCTATTATCCTCCTGATTTCATTATTGGTCTGATGTTSTGCTGCTAAGCTGTCAGTAGTCTGCTCAGAGTCCAAAAGATCCATTTCTCCACCAGTCTGTATGTTTCTCCTATCTGGAGCACTCTTATAATTGAGTACTGGCCTTCCTTTTCTGTCAGGGAATGTCCATTCCCAATAATTTGTCACATCTCTCTTCAGGAACCCACAGTACTATGACACAGCCTTTTTAACTTTTCATGTCTGTTATCCTCCTTGGAATAAATGAAACAAACATTCAAATCTGAGAAAAACATTCATTTTTCAGCAGTCTTTGCCTTTAGAAAGGACACTGAGTAGTCTTCAGCTGTGAAATGCTGATGCAGCRTAACTAATGGCAGAAATATTGGACCAGTCTAAACTGAGACCTGCAGTTTGCCTATAAACAAAGCTTCTTCCCAGATGGGGCTTCTCTAGATCTTMAGTGTTCTGCATAATATTTAAAACTTTAGATTAGTTAAGTAATCACAAAATGCAAAAGCCAATCTTTTTCAAATATGAAAGGATCTAACTGAATAACAGCTGATGACTGTGAGACTTTTCTGCCTGGGTCTTTGCTTTTTATTTAAAGGTCATTTTCTTGTTACTTTTCATGTTTTTTTAGTCTACTTTTTAGGAATCTATTTTTCCTCCTGTCGACTGAAGAGTAATTTTCCTAAAGATAAAGAAAATAACTGACAGCTCATGATACTCTTAAATTCTGCTGAAGATTTTAGTTCTGTTCACAAAACGACCCAGTGATTACAAGATTAAAAAAGTGATATATTTTGTTTTATCAGACTTGTCTGAGGATTGTTTTTCCAGAGTTTATCAAAACCAGCATGAACTATTTCCCATGAATTTTTAGAGTACAGTTGTGGGGTTTTCTTCTAGCAGATAATGGAATGTAGGTCAAATAGAAAACAACAAAGTTATGACTGTAGGCAGATGTTAATTTAACTAGTGACTATGGCAATTTAAAGCACAACAGCTTGGCATCTGTTAATTTTTGGCTTTGCTGGGAGACAACATCGTCTGCAGAAAAATTGCTGCAAAATATGCTGCTTTGTCTAAGCAGATCAAATGATAGGTATGAACAAACCTGAAGAACATTGGGGCTCATTCATACAAACCATTTTGGTGATAAGAGTTGGAATGTGTTAAGATTCAAATGCTGCAGAAATATTTTTGATGTCTTTTGTAGACTTCAGTGATTCTGTGATATATTTTGGSTGCAAAAGAGAATGAAAAGTAATTAGATTMGTTTTTTGGTTTTCCCACTATGTGGAATATATACCAAAATTCCATACTAGAAAAAAWTCTGATTTAGAATTCTTTCTGATTAATTAAATTGTTTTCTTTTTTAATTCAGTGGTCATTCTTCATGCAAGCAGTCTTTATGTCATCCACTGGATTGTGTGATAGCTATTCAACCTTGTCACATGTCTATGAGAGCACATCAGAGCACAAAAGGAAAGGCAGTTCTATTCCTTTTGATATTAATTGTTAGTATTTTTATTCAGATACACATTAGGTAGAACTAGTGGCTGCATGACTTTCTTACCTGCTTAAATTGTTCATTGCTTTATTTATAAATTCTGGCAACAAGAAGAAAGGCAGCATCAATATAGAGCATGTAAGTMGTAGATATGATATTCGTATCAACAATTGTAATATATAAAATTCATGTGGTCAAAGAAAATCTCTCCTTCGGTTAAAGTGAGGACCATATTTGTAAAGAAGGAGATCCACAAAACTACATTCTTATTAATTCTATTTCTCCCATGAYATCTGATCTGCCTGCTCCAAATCCACAGTTTACTGCTGAATATTTTCTKTGTCTGTAGCCATCGAAGATGCTCTAGTTGGCTCAATATATGAAGACAAAACATCAGATGCATTTTCAAAATATTGATATACTGAATACAAAGACCTCTCCCTGCTATGTCTTTTCAAAAAAATTCCTTTTTRATTCCTTCAAACCTGCTCCAATAAAAGCAGCAAGTGTAAGACTGTGCTGGTTGTTTACTATCCTGCTCTCAAGCCAAACAGCAGGAAAGCTGTGTCCTTTCCTGAAATGCCTGTCTTATCAGTTTCCTAAGCCCTCCTTTCTGAGCCATGCGAGACTCAATTGGCCACCAGTATTTTTTCACCCAATGTACCATCTTGATTGTGGCTCATGTTTACATTTCCTGTGTAGGAATTGCATTTTCCCATGAACTGGGGGAAAAAACTACTGTTATGAACAATGCCTTGGGAAAGAATTTGTAATATTATTTTTCCTAGTCATTATTTGTTAGTTTTAGAAGGCTTTTCAGCAGTTTATTTTTCATTAAAGGATGCCTGGTTCATCCATCTGTAATTAAAAAAGTGAAACTGTACAAGTTCAATATAAGGCAGTACAGTGGTGTATCTACCGTAAGGGTWTTTATGAATTTTGTGTGTGCCTTTACCCCCACCTGACTGCATTTGTCTAACCCATAACCTCATGGCTTCCAGTATTGTTGTTTATCAGATAAACTAAATGTTCCACAAACTCAGAGACAAATGTTTTTCTACTCGAAAAACTAATAAATAGGCCTTTTCTATTGACTTCCCATAYTTATTCTAAAAAGTCTACTTCCTGTAGTAAATGTATGTAGCTCCTGATGAGAGGGAGGTATTTACACCTTATTTTTAAACTACAATTACAATATTAATTTTAACASCTCACTGCATTTTGCTTTACTTTTACCCTCATAACCTTGCTCTAGAATAATGACTTAAGCAAGGTGTATCATTCCCTAATGTCTGCASTATAGCTAATTCTATGTGTAATTTCAATGTTTCCCAAT